TCTCGAGTACGAGTCTCCGGCCCTGCACACACCCCCGTCGTGCGTGGATCGGCGCTGCTGGTGATAGTTCATGATTGGATGTGCCGGTACGTGCGGGTGTTTGCCGGTGCGGCGTGATTAGTCCGGCTTGCCGGTCAATCGAGGAACGTATCTATGTGAGACTCGAGAGGTGCCCTGTGGGTTATCTAGAGTCTAGAGTGCTAATAATAGAGCCTAATGACGAGCTACAGCGTCGGGGATTTACTAGATATCATTCCACGGACAGCAGCTGAAGAGAAGACAATTACGACAAGAATTTGGGTAATTTCTTGTATTTTCATATCTAACGATGGTGGGCCTGACTGAAGATACAAAGACAGATGGATGCCTCTTGCAGCTCCCCGCCTTTCTTGGCGCCGACAACGACAGCAACGGAAAGTCCCGCTACTAATTCCACCACTGCGCTACATGCATCCTAACCGCATTCAGCACACGACTATTAATACTAACTATCACTTACAGCTGCACAATTAAACAGACAATTAACTAATCAAGTACCAGCTATCTATCACCCTCTGCCCTGCCTGGCCAGATAGAGGCTCTTCCTCCTCCTCGACAGCCTGAACCTCATGGGCACTCTCCTCCCCTTCTTCTTCTTCTTCTTCTTCTTCTTCCACTCCCCTCTCTCCCTGAACCTCCTCCCCCACCCACACGCACTCGGTGCACCAAACATCCTCCACAACCCTCTCGGCACCTCCCCCTCGCCGCCCACTCCTCCCACTCCTCCTCCCTCGTCCCCACCGCCCTCTCCACAAACCTCACCACACACCTCACCCACTCCCTCACCCTCCCGCCCCTCACCGTCCCCGCCGCCTGCCGAAACTCCACACTCCCATACCCCACCACCGCCGTAAAATTGTACTTATACAGCCTACACCACCCCCCACTCCCCCTCCTCCCTCCTCCCCCACCAGCCACCGCATTCACAACCCCCAGCAGCTCCTCAACACTCCCACACGCATCCACCACCGCCACCATCTCCCGCGGCGAACACCCACGAAACACAAGACCCCCCACAACGCTGCGATAGCAGCTCCCCAGCGCATCAGTCGGCACCCGGTGCCGCGGGTGGTGCCCGTCCATGCACCGCTCCAGCAGCACCACGCCCTTCGCCACGCGCTTGAGCTCGCGCAGCGTGTACGCCCGTCCGTCGAGGCCCACGTGGACATGGAGGCCCGTGGAGCGGTTCACGCGGGCGGTGACGCCGCCCGGGAGTGATGTTATGGCGCTGCATAGCGCGGGCAGGACCCATTCCCAGTCGTTTCTGCGGAGGATTGGGGTTGCGATCTCGATTGGCGCTGCGCGCAGGGGGCCCCAGGGGTGGGAGGAGATGGTGTCGTCGGTTTTGAGCTGGAAGATTGTTTCTGGGTGCGGGTGGGGGAGGGGGGATGCGGTTGTGGAGAGGAGGGTGGCGAGGGGGGTGAGGGCGTGTTGGAGGTGGGAGTAGAGGTGTGCGGGGGGTGTGGGGACGGGGGTGAGGAGAAGGAACTCGAGTTCGACGCCGACTGTGAGCTTGGGGGCGGAGGTAGGTTTGGAGTCCCTGGTACTGGGTTCGGAGATAGAGCTTGCCCGCGTGGAAGGAGCTGTAGAGCTGGTTGCAGAACTGGTTGTAGAACTGGTTGTGTATTCCCATGGAAGTGCGTATAGCTCCCGAATGCACACCCTCCTACCCCCCCCGAGGCACACATCCGCCACCGAGCTCGCCGTCGTGGCAGTCCCATAACTATCCGTCGACCTCTCCGTCGACACCGAGCACGACCGTGAGTGAACACTCATATTGAAGCCTTATTAGAGTATTAAAAAAAAACCGTATATCGATAGGTATCAAAAACCGTAGCTCATATTAACCACTCAAAACAACAGCGAACCTCAAGGTCCATATAAATAAACACCACCACGCTGAGAACAAATATGTAATACTATGACATCAACACCCCCATCAGGCCACTATAATACTGGCCACCACCACCGCATCACGTGCTGAATTACGGGTTCGTTTTTCTTTGTTTATGGCTGGAATGAACCCTAACCCTGGTGGGGTGGTGGTGGTAGGTTCTAGAAGGTTGTGGGTGGGTGGGTGGGTGAAGAAGTATATTGGGCCTACCAGCTACGTGGTGGGCTGTTGAGCTGCTGTTGGGTTGTTGGATGACATGAGGGACCACTACGTACTAATCGTGACCGTGAATACTGGTGTTGGGGTTGGGGGCTGGGCAAATAGTAGATGTAGATGGCGGGTACTACGTAGTATTAGTAGGGCGGCCAATCATGTGCAGCGGCGGCGGCGGCGGCAGTGGTGGTAAGTGGGAGTTGAAGTGGAAGTGGCTATATAGGACACATGTAGGACATGCATCTGCCTGTCAACAGGGCGGGCCGGTCGATCCTCTAATACAGTACAAGGTGGCCTGGATGGATGACATGTGGTCCGGACAAATAGAGTACGAGGGCCAATGATCGAAGCCACATAAGTTTAGAGCTTTGGTACATACTCTAGAAACCCTAGCTTAGGTCATGTAGCCTATTAGATAGCTTCTATAAATAAATAGTTACCTGGCCGAAAACAGCCACTACCCCCAAGAGTGTCGGGAGCGTACTGTGGGAAGTAGCTAGCTAGTGCCGGGCTGCACCGTGTGAATCTGTTTCGGTACGGATACCGTTCTAGGGGTTGTGGAGACAGCTTCTAGATGTACTTGTGCGGGGAAGTACTCAGGGTTTAATTGTAAACAGTGGCTCGTGGGGGACGTCTGGTGTTGGTCTCCCTGTGTGTGCATGGAAGGCGTACAGTGACTCTAACTAGTCACAATTAATACTCACGAAGCTATCGAGATGTGTGGGCCGACTGTTTAATTCTGCTCCAACACGATGGACACGATGGGTGCTAAAGTACATGAATGTTATATCTGCGCCATAAGCGTGCGCGCCTGGCTTCGATTTCTGTGTGAGAGCGGCAATGTTGTGCTACTATAGAAGTGGTTCTAGATACTGTGTTTTAACTGTATCATGAGTACAGCTAGGACACAGTACCGCCTAGACTAGAAGCTATGGTGCGCCCACGCTTAAAGGTAGCGGATCGTGACGAAATGTCAATCGCTTAAGGCTTTGCCACGAAAAATGGTAAAAAAAAAAAAAGCGGAAAGATAGAACTCTAGTTCAAGAGATGAAGTTTAGTTCTATCACTGCAGATTTTTGACATCTGTCTGGGTTGAAAAGCCTTAGCAAGTTGAAATTGTGTATTTTTGTACGAAAAATGCGCCAAGACTGAACAAAGTGGAACAGTATTATACCCATTTATACCCACAGAAAAGCAAGCCTGACTGATCCGTGCAGCAGAATGGCTAGAAATGGGCCCTCTTATTGGCCCATGAGGCCCTATTGCAGCCACAATTGTTCCACTTCCGTATGCCACCATATCACCTTTGAGTGTGCGCACCATACATGTAGCTGTAGGGATTAGCTGTCTAAGCTAGCCATGCGTTAAGAGTGAGATCAGTCTTTATTCTCACCTGTATATACGGTTAGGTCTTGCTATGATCGGTTGCTCGGAATGAGTTGACCTGATGGTCACCGGGCTGGCCGCCGTAGGTGAGGTGTGTTTTATATTCCATGCGAGATCTGTGGGATCAGATTCAAGCTTAAATTTGATATCGAGTGTAAAGCGATGCACTTTAAAAGAACATCTTCCCTTCGCACGCACGGCCTGATTCGAATATCAAAAACCAGCAAGTCCACCAAAGCCACTATCAAAACGTAATCGCTCAAAGCCCATCCCTGCACCACTATTGATCCATACGTGTCTAAGTATGAAGGGAATTCATGTACCCCCCCCCAAAAAAAAAGAACCATATTTCCGCACAACTTCAGCTTGGTACCACAAATAAATTCGCACCATCCAGATGTTCCATTGTGTTCAGTCATAGAATGTTGAAAATTGGGCATCCCGTCTGCTCTGCCATACACAAGCAACATATCGCCAAGTTAGTACTGCAGTGGGTGACCATGTGGGAATCCTTGGTACTGAACTCAATTGTCTCTTTTTTGTGGATTTTTTGGGCTAGGCTTGGGTTGTGGGGCGTTGGTTTTGGTGGAGTTGATGTTGGGTGTGCGTTGGTGGTGAGCACTGGAGTCGGAGGTGGAGTGTTGGATGGTGCTGTGCAACCGGCTACACTTCAGATTCGGGGGGATATGTGCTGGGCTTGTTACTCTCTCGTAGATCGATGAATTATTTGATATCAATTCGGCTGATAATGATGTATTAAGCCTTGTTCGAGAATATCTGTATTCGAGGTGGAATAATAAAACTCTTTCGTTGATCTTCGTACCGTTCACGAGACCATTGCTGCTACTGGGACGTTCTAGGGTTCTCTCTTTCACCCAGTGGGCGAGTGATAATCCATGCATATAAACCAACATACCCTCCTCCACCCTCAACCCCCACCGCATTCACGCGAATATTACAGGAGTGGTATTTTTACGATAAGGGAATTTTTTGAAGTAATTCACACCGTTGGCGGTGCGGGGTTGTGGAAGTGCGGATTTGACTCCGCGACTGCCACAGATATCATATCAACATTACAGAAGTCAAGTAACATGTTGATAATTACGGCCACAATTTAATCGATCTTGCTCTGAACGCAGACCACAAGATTCCGATGGCAATGGCAAAATGTTCAGGAGCTGTACAAATCTACGAAATGCACCTCACGAAGTAATTAGGAGCACGGTGATTGGAAACGGCCAGGCCAGGTGATTCATTCTCGCCACAAAGAGCACTGTTTTGTGAAAAATTACCGAAAAAAGCCTCTAAACGCCCCCGCGGTCCCCAAAAAAGAGAAGAAAAAAAAGAAGAATAAAAAAGAAAACCCGAGCCAGCAAGACAAGAAGATTATTCCCAGAGCAGAAAACTTTTTTTTTATTTAGTTTCGTCCCCCCTTGTACGCTTACAAAAGAGTTCTCATTCCCACCATCTAGTACTCGCCAACGGCGGGGAACTCAAAGGTGACGTGCTTGCCAGTGAGTTTGCGGTAGACCTCGCCGAAGGTGTCGACCTTGTAGTCGACGCCAGCGCGCTCCTTGGCGTCAAGGAAGACCTTGATGATCTTGTGGCCATCCTCCTTGGTGCGGATGCGCTTGCCAACGATCTCGGTGGGGTAGACGAGGTCGGCGAGAATGGCGTCGTGGACAGCGGTCAAGGTGCGGGACCTTGGGCGCTTCTGGGTGACACGGCTACGGCGCGAGGGGAGAGGGAGGATACGGCGCTGGGCAATGAAGAGGACATGGCGGTCGGAGAACTTCTTCTCGAGCTCACGGGTGAGTCTGTTGCATTGAGTTAGTGGGTGGTTGTGGATAGGAGTGCGGGGAGTAGAGAGGGGGGGGGTAGTACCTCTGCTGGACGTCGTGGAATCCCTTCAACAAGGGGACGGGCACAAAGATGATGATGGCCTTCTTTCCGTGGCCAACCTCGAGCTGTCCTCCCACCGAGTACGAACCCGAATCGTTAGCTTTCCCGTACCTTCCTTCGTTCCCCCCACAAAGGGCGGGGGGACCTGGTCTGAAGGGGAGACTGGGAGACTGCGCACTCCGAAGAATGGCTATTTTTACAAAAAGAATTGGGGGGTTTATATTACCTCCTTGGCGGAGTGGAACTGGAGAGGACGGAGAGCACCCTTGAGGTCGGTGACGGAGGTCTCGAGATCGTACAGAGCCTGGGCAATGTTGGTCTCCAACTCCGAGGGCTTGGAGTGGGACGGGGAGTTGGCGGCGATCTTGATAAGGGCGGACATCTTGATTTTTTGGGGGGGGTGCTGAAGTTGTTCTGCTGGATGGGAAAAAAAAATTACCGTGATGAATTTGTCGTCGTCGTTGGGGTGGTCGTGATAAATTTCACGGTGGTTGAGGTTCCACGGTCGGATGTGTGTGGGGCTTTGTGAGGCGGTGGTGACTGTGGGTAGGGCGTTGCCCTGTAAACGCCAAGAAAATTGGATCATGGTGCAGCACTCGATATGCAGGCAGATAAAATTAAAACTGGGAGAGAAGCCGGCGAGACAAGCAGGAATGAATGTTTTAACGAGAGTATTTACTCTTCGTTTTGAATTTTTTCTTTATTCCTGATTTTGACTAGTAATCATGCGCGTAACAACAATAAATACCAGTAGAGTAAGAAGATAGAGCTAGCTGAAATCGCATCTTTTTTGTGTTTGTGCCGAGAATCATTCTCTAAATCGACATTCTGAAGATGTTTTTGTAGAGTAGAATGTCTATCCAAGCCTTGGATCCGCTCCACTTGTAGTTAAATGAAGCTATGTGTTCTCCAACGAATTTAACCCACTAGTAATTGTCCCTGTAACGTTGTTTCCTACTACTAACGACGCTCTAACAGATCCAAACCATCTAGGTCTACTCATAAAGGGTTAAAACTAAGAGAGTGAATACTAAAGGCACTCAGACCTAGGAGGCCTAGGTTATCCAGCCCAACCCATGTAAGATAAAGTACTATTTAGATTACGGTTTGCAGAAATATCTACCACAAGACAGGCATTAGCTTGAAGTTCAAGATGGTCAATGATCAAAAACTATACTTTGGGGGCCATATCAACCACAAAAGCTCGCAATGGCTTTCACATGCTTTATTCCCTTTGTCCCTTCTATTCCTCTTAAGCCGGCCGATGAGCCGGGATGAAATCCACGGTACCGCCTGGTAAGCAAATATAGCCCCGAGACTTTATGGAGTTGAAGAGGTCTAGATATATCCGCATAAATCCACTGCTGAGACACATAGAATATAACACTTAAAAACAATTTTCCCCAAAACCCCGGTTCGGTATCACTAGGGATCTTGTAGCAACATGCTCATGACTCACAGGTATGTTTCGAAGTTTCAAGTACGAGTTAAAGACACCGGTAAGTGATTCATTGGGCAACCCATAACCATGAACTACACGATCGACTACCTACCACCATCACGAAGTATAGCTACTCAGCAACGGCACTACGATGCCCAGCAGACGAAAAGGCAAGCAGGTATCATTCAATGAAGACATCACCTGCAGCCACATAATAGGGAATATACCAAACTAGGCCCAAGAATTGCCATTGTGCGTTGCCCTCCTCCATGCACCCGGCTCATCCTCCTCAGCTTCCGCATCCACAATCACGATATAGGACCTCTTAGACCAACACAGGCTTAAAAACCACGATACTGTACGCCGAAATTGCACCCCTCTCTCTCGCTTCGCCTAGGGTTAATGGCAGCGGGGTACATAGACATTGAATAGGCAATCACATCTCCAGCGAACCTTTTCATACCGGCTCCTGAGTACTTCGCCCACTCACGCCTACATACCCACATCCACCCACAGCACGTCTTATCCGCCTACCGACGTCACAACTCTAGCAAGACCAATGGAGTGGCTAGCACATCCATACCGACAAGTTCAGTTTCTCGAACATCGATATGAGTCATGGACTATCACTCGTATATCGATATGGTGGCGCTGGGAGCCACTACTAACTCCCAGAGATAGCCCGAATAAAGATACAGCGGCTCCAGATCTCTATATATGAGGATATAGCACTGGCCTCCCACGGCCCCAGCATCGGTGGTTGGAAGCGCCGGCGCTGCCTGGATAGAGGGTACGTCCGCGTCTAGCGGCCGGGTGGATTGAAGTTACAATACATGTCCTAAGATTCTCACTGCACTGGCTCGATATAGTAACATAGCCGCAGAAGAAAATCTAGACGGCATATATACCCCTCCCGTCTCAACATCGCGCGGGCCCGGGGTCAATGAGCTGTCAATGCTGCAGCGCAGGCCAGCCTGGTATATACGTTAATTACCCGTGCCAAAAGCCCGATACCACGATCGTACGAGCCCGGCAGCGGTCCGGTACCTGACCCCCCCGCGGCCGCGCGGAGATTGCGGTAGGCCAGCAGCAAACCCGTGAATGATACGACCCGATTGACCTGCATGTAAGTGTGCAGGTTATGCGGGCCAGATATTATTAGGGTCGGCAGATTCACAGCTTCGCACTCGGGCTTCACAGCCCCTCACTCGCCCATACCACGGCATTGTTTTCAATTCATGTCCGTTTTCCATTTTTTTCCGTTTTACTTTTCAGTACAGCAATGATACATCACCCATCCATCACACGCGTGTAGTTATTCATACGAGTCCCCGGCCATAAGAGCAGAACAGAGAGAGAAAGGAATAGAGAGAAAAGAGATGCCTAAAACCGACCACACCACAGTTGAGAGAGGAGAGAGACGAAGGAAAGAGAAGAGGAAGGGAAAAAAGTTAATACTAAGAATAATCATACTAATAACAGGAGGAGAAGGAAGAAGAACACCGCCCCCACTCACAAAGTCCCCGACATTACCACTTCTACTTAATACTACACCGCACACACCATCTATACCCGCTTTTCCATACCCGCGAGTCTCCTGCCTACATTCCCAAAGCACACGCAGCTGCAGAACAGCACGGAGCACACCCACACCCATACACCGAGCCTCTCGACCGGGACCCACCCTGCCAGCAGTCCCTCCCCGCGGCTCTCAACGCCCGCGCCATACACAATCTCGGGCGCCTGGATGAGCCCGGGGCTGGTCTGCAGCATGACCACACTCCCAACGACGCCCACAACGGCACTAAACCAGAACCCGGCGCGCGTGCGGTCAACAAGGTACCACAGGAACGGATTTATGAGCGCCAGAGTCAGCGACACCTGCAGCGTCGACTGCCAGGGAAGCTTCCGGATCGCATAAGCGATACCGACGAAGGCGCCAATGCTGCGCACTACCGGCTCCCAGTCGATCTTAACGCCTGCGCTGGTGCCGTCGAGCCATGGGAGGATACTGCCAAGGGCGATGCCGGCAAGGCCCCATGTTATGAGGTACTGTAGCCCGTAATGGACGGAGAGCATGGAGGTCGCTGAGAGTGACTTGGAGTGGTGTAGGTGCGTTACGATGACGCCGTAGGCTGTTCCGAGGACGAAGAGGGAGGCGATGCGCAGGGCGTGCCATACGAGGGCTGTCCTGCTATTTTTCTGGATTGTCTTCTCGCGGGTGACGAGGGATTGCGCGCGCGCGCGCTTGTGCATTTGGGTTTGGGGTGCGAGGGTGGCGGGTAGGGTGGGTTTCTTGGTGAAGTCAAAGTCGCTGATGTTGAGCACCGAGGGGGCCCGTGACACCGTCGTGGGTGTTTGGGCGCCTGGCTCGGTGTAGTCGTAGATGCCGAAGAGGGTTGACGAGGTCAGCGCTATGGACGACTTTGTGCGCTTCACATCGCCGTTGGAGGAGTCTATGGGGGATTGCAGCTCTGAGGTGGTTTCGGGAGTGGAGGCCCCTGGAGGGGTGGCAGAAGGCGTGTCAAGGTCGAAGGGACGACGGGGGACTGGACGCAAGATTGGTACTTCGGATTGTGAGGACATTGTGGATGGTAGGTAGAGGAGGTTTGTCTAGAGTTTCAGGGAGGTATGAATTGCTGATGTAGTGCTGAAAAGTGTCTAGGGAGAACAGGAGGTGTGAGTAGGAAGGTCGTGGTGGAATGTGGTGAACACTGTGTTAAGTGGAATGAATGCAGTGGTATGAGTATGAGTATGGAAGAAGAGGAGGAGGTGAGTGACTCTCTCTCTTTCTTTGCTTTTGAGGGCAGACAGACGTGTAAGTATGAACAGGAGGTAGCGTGACGTCCTTCCTGGATCTTCGTCTCTTTGTAGATCTTCTGTTCCTGGTATTGCAGACAGCAGGGGAGTGATTGAGCGAGTGAGCGAGTGAGCGAGTGAGAAGCGGTGTGGAGAATAATGGTAGAGATGCAGAGATACAGATGGAGTCACAGACAGACAGCCAGAATAGAATCAGACAGAGACAGAACAGAGACGCAGAGAGACGGGAGACAGAGACAGAACGGAGACAGCCAGCCAGGAGAGCGAGAGAGAAACAAATCAACACGCAAAGGGGAAAGACCAACCTAAGTATATACCTACCCCAGGCCTATGGATACGTCCGGATTGCGCGAATGTGAGACCCGAGAAGTGCTATGTCCCTACTCTACGTGCTTTACCGTACCAGTATGTATGGTGATATTATTGATGACCTCAACAATTGCATTGGCACGACGGAAGACAGCAAACAGAGGCAATTAACACACAGCTGAACATCCGTACCTGTCTCCTTATTCTGCCCGTCTACTCCCGTGTCTATTGTGCTTTTCTGTTTCTGTAAAAGAAAAAATACCCTCCAGCTAATTAAATAGCTACTCTACTCTCTATTCTATCACCATCATATGCTCACTCCACACTCACTCCTCGCTCACCCCTGAGGGCTGAGACAGCACTTGATGACCTCAACTATTTGCACGTGAATCACCCGAGTAAGCTTCTGATCACTCCACGTCCGGTCCGCCCAACAACTCAACCTGTCCCCCCCCTTCTCTCACCCGCTCTACCCAAAGTGATAGTTGTTTTATCCATCATATCGCTCATAGAGAAACTTGTATTTAACCTTCCCATATCCAAACCTCCTTCTCTCCTCACTCGTTCTTCCTCAACAGAAAGAAAGAAGAAAAATCTCTAGCGCGGCAGCCCCCAATCCCTACGGGGCCCTTGCATTACATCTCCCCGGTGTGATTGATCGTTTTTCTTGGGCCTAGGCAGGGTACAGGAAAACACCCCGATCCACAACCCCCGAGGAGAGAGGCGTTGCCGCTTTCGGTCGTTTGCAACCGGAGCCTCACCTTCCAACTGTTTGATCACCAGACGTACCTACCTCCACCGACCGTGGGGAAAGAGGGAGGGGAAAGAGAGTGTGCGGGGTTGACTGACTGACTGACAGTCCACAGGAAGAAAGATGGACAGCACCATCACTACCATCGCTCGATTTGAGATTTGCTGCCGGCCGTGTTTGAGATTGAGCCTGTGGGGTGGTACACAGATGTTAGGGGAAACGCTTAACTGTGGGGTGTGCTGCTGTGCTATGTTATGCTATGCTAATGGGATTACATCTCTAGCATGTGTTAGTAGATTTTGGGTCTTGGGTTGACTTGCGAATGTCTGCTATGGATTGGACGTTGTAGGAGCTTTGTAGGAGCTCTGCTCTTGAACTACATACTTGGGCATTACCGTAGTTTGAAGACGTTACAACTACTTGAGCCACAAGCACCACAACTCAATTATATAAACTTATGGGGATATAAAACAATATTCTGAGGCGCATATAAATAGTTATTAGTTGATCTGCTTACCTGCTTGCTTACTTACATGTGCTTTTCCTTGCCGAACGGGCAGCTCCGATTCGGCATATGAGCTGTTACTAGGACAGCACACTAAAGGCACTTTTGCAACAAAGTGAAGAATTGGTGCCTTAAATACTATCTATGGGTAGTAAACTTAGATCTGCTCTCGCTAGTTCGCCGCGCGCCGCTTTTCGAGAAATCATAGTACACCTAGGAAATTGCCTTGGAGGACGCTCCTGTAGAAAAAAACCAGATTGGTTTACTTTTTAAACGGCCGAGCATTGGATACAATATACTGCACACTACACACATGTACCTACACGTAAGTAGAGGCCACCGCCAAGGCCACCGTGGAGCTACATGTATGTAGTTGTTGGAAACCCACATAGTATATAAAGAAATCCATCCCACGGCCCGTCCCGTTTCATCAATCACATCACTGGTCTTCATCTCCGCCTTCATCCTCCTCATTGTCTTTCTTTCAAGTACATCAATCGAATTCTCTGGAATGTCAAATACTTTATATACATGGTTCGAATGGTACCCGGGTTGGCCGCTGACAACGTGTTGGTGTTGATCTTCCAATAGTCTAGTGGGATGATGTAATCTCCTGCCCGTTTATAGAGTACATACAGCACCCCCTGTCTCACGATCAGTCTATTAGTGGATCCGGCCGGACATATGCCGTTATATGGAATTTTATATCTGTTTACCTGCACGTTATACATGAATTCATAGTGCGTCCTATATACCATTCATCAGAAGGCGATACTTACTGGAAGTAGGTATAATATGGAGACGGTTTCACTGACACGGATGACTTCACATGCTTCGGCCGTCTCTCCGTGCATTCATGAACACCGTTTCGGTCATCGAATATCACTCGAATATCAACTGCACCAAATAATCTTATTTTGGTTGAATTAATGTTTACACAGATTACCTATATATTTAAACAAAAGGAATATATAACATATAAATCTAAGAAAAGATCGACTACGAGGTCCTACATGATCGACTATAAAAATGAAGAGCTAGGGGAACAATATTACAACCCGATTCGCCAGGAACCGACGCACATCCCCAAGGATGCAACCTCTATTTGTGCACCTTTATTGAGTTTGAGGTCCCCGAAAACGTATAGGTCCCACCCGCTTTACGGTCGGTGTTTTCGCACTTATTCATGATCTCCATCGCTGCTAATCCCGCTTGCTCGCAACTTATGCTGCCATCCCATAAGCCGCAGAATGATATTTTGCAGCCACCAGCCGATGAGACAACACCACATTGGTTGTCGTTGAAAAGGGTCTTTGTGCATATCTTGCCGTCTTTGCCGGAGGAGAGGAGTTTCTCGAAGGCGGCTTTGATATCATCGTGGGTAGGAGAGCCACTGCTGGTTTCGCACTGGATGCTGTCGGCGCGGACAACGAGTGGGGTTGCGTGGGTACATGCCACGAGGAGTGTGAGGAGCAAAAGCAGGAGAGATGTGAATTTGAACATTGCTTAGCTTTTATCGGGGGAAGGAGGAGGAGGGTTGAATTATCGTGGATATGATCGGGAATGTTTTTGCGAATGAAGGCAAAGTACGTCTACTAAGCCAACTGAATGATACCGAATTATCTAAAGCAGGATTGAAGGACTCAAGCGGATCCCATCAACCTTATAAAGCAGTCTCCCCCCCTCGTCGTTAATAGGATTTGTGGTGGTGTGCACGGCACAACTCAGCAGAATACAATACCTCCACGACCTGCCTGTCTCATTCATTTACTTTTTCTTCTCTCCCCATGCAGCCGCTGGCTTGCCTGGCATCACTGAGCGCGGCGAAAAAATACGAGGGTGTGCGCGCACATGTGTTCTGCAGTCTGCGGGCGAATCAGAAGGCCGCATATCGACGGAGGCTCAACCAGGCGAAACTAGAATGAAACTGGCGGATATAGATTTTATACGCAGGAGTTGAATATGGCGCCTTAGAAATGAAGACTTTTTTTTCGTTATTCCTACTATATATACTTTTCTTCATGATAAGGGGTAATCATGAAGAATTCAAGATTGGGGTCACGTGTTGTGTTGGTTGATACTCAGTTGACAGGTAGGAGGCAGAGGCTTAATATAGATCTGGGATTACTCTACCTACTCTAGAATTAGGGTGGAAAGGCGAGCCCCGGAGGGCACTTCATTGTCAGCCAATTGATTGTGACTGCACCCACTGGGCAGGATTGAAATCCTTAAATATCTACATTCAGCACTGGCCAGAACCTGGTATATACCCGCCCTGCAATGAATTAACACGTTTTTTTCTTTCGCAGACGGGATGGGATACCCAAAAATGGCGTAGGATGTACCATGGTACCCGCCTGTCTGTCAATGTCAATGTCAGTAGCTATTGTGGAGGGGGCCGGGGTTATATTCTTCCGTTCGTGTGGGGAATCATATCCATATGGACGCCGATAAAGCTTTCATCCAAACTCTGGAGAAGTAGAAGGCGGCGGCGTCGGCGGTGGTGGTGATGGTGGATGTGCATGCATGTGGAACATCATACGCCCACAAGTCATTGGGTGGCTGCTTATGGTTGGCTGTTGTACCGAGAGTGTTTCAGCCTGTGCGAGGCTGGGATCATGGGTTGTCACTCGAACTTGGATAGGGAGTTGAGATGAACCCTTCATGGTAGAAGAACTTGGTTTTGGAGTTTTGGCTCGTTTTGTGGAGTGGGTTAGAGGGGGGATGAGGAATGAGAGAGAGGGGATGAGGGATGGATGGGTTGTGATTGTGTATGTTGGCGTTTTATTTATCGTGACTTGATAGCTATAATATGGCACATATCACTGTTTGTACAGTACGATGCCAGTCGGAGCGTCAGGCGCGGCGTCGCAACGCCCCCCGAACCATCACGGGTACTAGCACAGCAACCACAATTGATCCTTTGGAGAGCTGAATTTTTGTATAGTTGTTAAATAGTAGATAGATAACAATGATTCGACATTTAATATCTTGTGTACCAACCCGCCGTGAAAAGGTTGTGGAAATCTGGTTGCGCCTGACGCTCACGACTGGCATCGTACTGTACTACCTTTTTCGTCTGAGCTTGTTACTTGTTTTAAGAACCGGCGGGGTTTGTGTAAGGAATTTAGGTTATTGTGTTCCGTAGTACAAACCTAACACTAGGGGGTATATGGTCCTGATGTGAGGGGCCTAGTCCTCTGTGGGTACGAGGCTGCTCTTGGTGTGGGCCTGCTCTTTTTATAGATAGAGGGCACCATCTAGTCTTTATGGCGAGATGTATACAAGTGCAGTACTGCGTGTTATCTTCAATGAAAATTTAGTCTACATAGTCGTTTCCGGGTGGGGACGGATACTGGTGAAGACGAACAATTCCTATTTGTCCGAAAATCCCTGTTTATCTGCACCCAGTGTTCCCCTCACCCCGCGAACGACTATACCAAAGCCCTAACTCCCACTTGAGCTTACCGGGAAACTTTTCCCAAATCTGCTCTAAATCGGCCGTCAGATTTCAGATTTCCCATCTGACCACCATCTATCTCTCTATCATTAAATTTAATTAGTTCCGGCGGCGGTACTCATAGTCGAGGCACGGGGCGGAATTGGGGAAATAGAGACAAAAAACAGTCCAACAACAGATGGTATAGTAATAGACGAGATAGGACAGGACCTACCTCAAGATCACCCTATCACTAAACCTCAATGCTATAGAACTAACCATTCTAGTAGCTGAAACGGCCCATATGCTAACAGCACCACATGCGGTTGTAGGTAGGCCTTCTTATAGCTAGCCCTATAAAGATGTCTTGGCTTCGCGGGGTATGTTGTGCGCAATAAGTTATACGGTTTGAGGGTGAAGCTCGTGTCTTTGGTGGATGGCCCAGGCTAAGGCGGAGGTGGCAACCGGTCAGTTGGTCAGGGTGGTGGATCAGGGTGACGGGTCAGATAACTAAATATGATATCCATATGTCAGGGCGGTAGCCCTCAGGCAACTTATGTAAATACGGTGCCAGCCTAGCTACAGTTGTTAACTTCGTTTTGGAACGTTTTCTCCAAGGCAAAGGGAATTCTGGTTGCTTGACCAACAAAACAAGCCTCGGAATCTTTCAGAGCTCGAATGTTGTGGGTATTTGAACGAAATTGATGCCCCTCGCCCCTTGTCTCCATTACGTCTATTTAGTCTGTCCGATCCGAGTTTGGAAAGTAGGCAAATATATCGAAAACAGGCAAGATACCAGGGTGAGGTCCGTTGCGAAGCATCTTTTTGTCCAGACACCAATGAGGAATCGGATAGAATAAAAATCCGGCAAGTATTTGTGTTTTCTCCCCCTGGTCTGCTACTGAACACCAATGAACAGTCCAACATCTTGAGTTCAAGGTGGTCCTTGAGGTTCCAGATTTTTGAAACATCTCGAGACAGGCGTTAACTACCTCGTGTTACTACCTTATCTCACAAGCTGTCTTACGCCGTTGTATCCTTCCAGGTGACTTATGTCCATTACTAACACCTTCAAGGAAGTTTTGGAAGAGCAGATTCTAGCAGGATGACTCCTAGTTGTGTTAGTATGTATCGTCAGTTAATAAATTCAGGCAACGGCGTTTCTGTTAGTATTTCTGTAGTAAATGGCTATTATATTAGTGACATTGACGAGGGATGAAAACGATAATGGGGAGGGGATTGGACTATGTTAAGAGGGTTCTTGCTTTGTCAATACTGAAACTGAAAGCTGTCTATCTCCTCGTTTGGAGTAAGATGCTGACTACTTCTTGTGGGACTGGTAAGGTGGCTAGTTCTAACAAGCTCAAATCAACCACCCCACCTGGATCAACCTTTGGCCAATCTCTCGTCAGCGTTCGTTGTGGCGCCCTTGGCCCCCATTAAAATGACCGATCTGTCAGACGAATCCAAGAGATAACCCGATCCGCGCCATTGAATTGGAATTAACTGTCACTGTATATGCCAAGACCTGCCGGTCTCGTCCAAACCATTAACTGCAAATAGGTTCCGAGTGAGATCCAGTGATTGCATAATCAATTAAAGCTGCTATAGTTGTCTTTGATTATGCCGTCCCACGGAAGTCTCGAGAAGCTTCTAGATGTGGGGCAAACGGACCCGGGTTTGACCGGCGTTCCCGAGAAGCATTGCGGGGGTGGCCATTGTGGTTTGTGCTCCGCGGTGGTGGCACGTTGCCTGCTCACAAACCAGCGCTTGGCTTCAGAGCACAGGGCGTGAATGAGACAAGACGAACCTGTCTGAACCCCTGCGAGCGAGTACAAAAAATGTAGCCATGGAAAATTTTACTTTTGAGAATACAGCGGGGGTGGGTTGGCCGGTTACTTGCTGATCATGAGCACATACCAGAGGGGCCCTTCAGTGTTATCTATAGATGACAGGAAGAGCTTTGATGTCCTATCAAGCTTTCCTTTTCTCTAGGTGACCGGGAGAGAGACTTCGGGTGTGGTATGCATGCACCAAGGTGCGGGATGGTCGTAAGATGTTTGCATAAGGATATCAACCCCCACGATAAGATCGACCCAAGTAGAGGGTTACATGTACATACATGTAGTTTACACCTGCGCCCTAGTAGGAGGATATACTGATATCGGCTAGGCCGCATTGATCATATAACTACGTCATTCCAAGATTTCTTTTGGTGTTGGGTTGTTAAGTGGTTCATGTAACCTCACTCGACCAGCCCAGGCTAGGCCACAACAAAGCCATTCATTTGTCTGCGCTTGACCAACCTCAAATACTCGCCTCATCACCCAATCTAGCACTTTCCTGAAACGAAAGAAAGAAGACCAGATCCCGATTCCAGCATCCATTTGCATGATATCTAACAAAAATGAAACCCAGTACTGCTCTTCATATACGATGTTTATACAGAGTCTTTTTCTATTTAGAAGTACCCTTGATGGCCTCAGGGACGATCTCCTTTGCCTTCTCGAGGATGGCGTTTTCGGCCTCCTTTGCCTTTTTCGCGAGCGAGGCCTCATGACCTCCGTAGCTGTGATCCTTGTTAGTAGGCTTCAGTGGAAGAAAGTGTGATAGTTTAGGCGGGGAAGGCAATTGAGACTTACTTCCAGTAGTTAAGGTAACGGTAGCTCTGGGCGAGCTGGGCAGCCTCGTTGACAAAGTGGCATCCTGTTCCTCGTAATTAGCGGATATAGCGGCGGAGATAAAGACAAGGATTGCGGCATACCGAAGAGGAGGTAGTTCTTAGGAGTAACAGCCAATCTAAACAATGCGATATATTAGTATAGTGGCGAGCTAGTGAGCAGGAGAAAAACGGGGGTAGGCGTACGAGTATCTCATGAAGACAGCAGAGTAGACGAGAAGCGCAGCGGTCATCTTTCCTGAGATACTACATTACTCATTATTGTCAGCGTTTCCCTTACAGAAGACCGGGCCGAATTCAGAATCCACATACACCTCAGGGTCCTTTCGGGTAATGTCCAACACTGCTGCGACGGGGATTCCAAAGTTGGAAACCGGTCCCCAGAAATCTAAACCACCAACCCATGAGCAATGACTCTCCTGCTACTGCGGACGAGAGAAAGGGATCGACGACGTACGGGTGGAGCAAATGTAGTTTGTCGTCGGATTGCTCCGGATTTTGGCGTTGAGGGCGGATATCATTGAAGCCATGGATGCTGCTTGTGGGGGGTTATGAGTTGGATTTGATGAGGTGGTGTTACTGCTAGGATTCGAACCTCAGGCACGGAGTTGTAGGAGGAGGAGGAAGGGGTGGGTTTTGCTGGATAGAGCGGTTGGAGTTGATGGAAGGGAGGAGGTTTCGTGGAGGGGAATTGCTCTTGTGAGCCAGCAAATCTTTGACTCCTGGTTCGGTCGGTAGCTGTACTGTGGGACCCAGGTACGAAGATTACATGATAGGAAGACCCTGGTCCGCGATTCCAAACCACATAAACAGAACAATGGCATTCTACTCAACTTATACAGCAATAGATCATTAATCAGATTTCACTGGGAATTAGAATTATCTTTCTTTCCTTTTGCTCTACGCCCTCGGAAGCCTGTTTCGCCTTTGGGTTTTTCTATTTTTCTTTTACTCGTATGGTCTCAGAGTGGGGGAAAACGAGCTTGGCGGCAACACCCAGGCTCCCATAACAATTGACAAACAACTGCAACAAATGCTCTTTTACATAAGTTACAGGCAACAACCCACGAGGGACCACCCACGCACCCACCCGCTACCGGGATGCATCCAATGTGCTTGTGTATCTAATTTGATTACATTACACATCAACGGACGGAAATGCAGCGAGCAAGGAGACGAGACGGTGCCGAAACGAATAGAAAACATGACGCCCAGTTAACTCGTTTTTATCCGTCATGTTCCGCCCTATCCAAGGGCTAGTGGCCATAAAGCATCTCTCGTCCTGCCCCTCCATAACTAACCCCTCCTCCCTCCTCTTCTCTTCTTTCTTTCCTTTCCTCATCCCTCATCTCATCAATCACCATTCTGTTACCTGCATTCTTTCGCAACCTTAGGCCTCAGATAAAAAAATACCTTTATCTTCTTCCATACAACTTTAAATACTCAACTATGGCTGACGAAACTAAGGCAGTGTAAGTAATATAATTTCGTCATAGACTCTTGATCCCCGCTCCCGCAACACAACCCCTCTTTGCCCGTACCAAGTCCTTCGGGCTTGCGACGGGAGCTCCACTGTTTTCCTCTCCGCTACTTGTGAGGGAGAAATTCAAGTCTCGACTCAACTTTAATGTTGATGAAGATCTTTTCGCTGACTTTAGAGCGCGATTGGCCGCTATTGCTGGCGGCTTTGCGCACTCAATACCTAGTGGTGGTTAGTACTATCCAAGTCTAGTAACAAGTATTCCTCGGGGATTATTTTTTGCTTTTTCCTTATCTAGTTTTAGGCGGAAAAAATCTCCGAGGAAGCGAGTGGCAGTTTAAGGAAACTGGGATGCTGACGATGGTGGAATAGATTTTGGTCTCATCGGTCTGGCCGTCATGGGTCAGAACTTGATCTTGAACATTGCGGACAACGGTTACACTGTCGTTGCCTTCAACAGGACTGTTGCTAAGGTCGACCACTTTTTGGAGAATGAGGCCAAGGGTATGTACTAGAAATTGCAATTGCCACACTTGTACAGCTTCTAAATAGACCGCAGGAAAGAGCATTGTTGGAGCTCACTCCATCCAGGAGTTCTGTGAGAAGTTGAAGACGCCCCGTAAGATCATGTTGCTCGTCAAGGCTGGTCCTGCTGTCGACGATTTCATTGCTTCTCTTCTCCCATTCCTGGAACCTGGTGATATCATTATCGACGGAGGTAACTCCCACTTCCCCGACTCCAACCGCCGCACCAGGTACCTTGCCGAGAAGAAGATCCGCTTCGTCGGTGCTGGTGTTTCCGGTGGTGAGGAGGGTGCCAGATATGGACCTTCCATCATGCCCGGTGGTAACGAGGAGGCTTGGCCATACATCAAGGACATCTTCCAGGCCATTGCCGCCAAGTCTGATGGTGAGGCGTGCTGTGAGTGGGTTGGTGATGAGGGTGCTGGTCATTTCGTCAAGATGGTCCACAACGGTATTGAGTATGGTGACATGCAGTTGATCTGCGAGGTAGGCGCAATTCGTTCCGGGACAAGACGAAATATCTCTGACTCCATATAGGCCTACGATATCATGAAGCGCGGTCTTGGAATGACTTGCTCCGAGATGGGTGATGTTTTCGCCAAATGGAACACTGGCGTTTTGGACTCTTTCCTCATTGAGATCACCCGCGACATCATGAAGTACAACGACCCCGAGGATGGCACCCCGCTCGTCGAAAAGATCCTCGATAGTGCTGGTCAGAAGGGTACCGGAAAGTGGACCGCTATCAACGCCCTTGACCTCGGTATGCCCGTCACTCTGATCGGAGAGTCTGTCTTTGCCAGGTGTCTCTCTTCCATCAAGGCCGAGCGCGTCAGAGCTTCAGAGGTCCTCGAGGGTCCTGAAATCCCGGCCTTCACTGGCGACAGGGAAGCTGCCATTGCAGACCTTGAACAGGTTAGCGGAATTCAATATGTAAATCTCACGGGAATTTAGGCTGATTTGAATTTCCAGGCTCTGTACGCTAGCAAGATCATCTCTTACGCCCAGGGATTCATGCTTATCCGTGAGGTATGTTATCATCGCCCCCTCTACTCTATTATACCCCACTATAAAATACTTATTTCAACGTGATCATTAGGCTGCCAAAGAGTACGGCTGGAAGTTGAACAACCCTGCCATCGCCCTCATGTGGCGTGGTGGATGCATTATCCGCTCTGTCTTCCTTGCGGACATCACCAAGGCCTACCGTGCCAAGCCCGACCTCGAGAACTTGTTGTTCGATGACTTCTTCAAGGCCGCTATCCACAAAGCCCAGCCCGGGTGGAGAAGAGCCATTGCCAAGAGTATCGAATACGGTATCCCAACTCCTTGCTTCTCAACCGCTCTCTCCTTCTACGACGGTTACAGGACCAAGAACCTTCCCGCAAACTTGTTGCAGGCCCAACGTGATTACTTCGGTATGTTTTGCCATGGGTGGTATCTTATCATATTTTCAATCTCTAACTTTCTTGTAGGTGCCCACACTTTCCGCGTTAAGCCAGAGTGCGCTTCGGTCTCCTTGGTAGAAGGAAAGGATATCCACATCAACTGGACCGGAAGGGGAGGAAACGTTTCTGCGTCAACATACCTTGCTTAAATTAAAATGTGAACAAATTTGAATGAACCTTTTCTTTCTTTCCTCTCTATCATGACTGAATCCAAATTGCTGGATAAGAGTGGGCCTTTTTCTTTAGCGGCAGTGTAGTTTTAAAACTGGAGAGTCATTTCCTTAAGGACGAAAACGGTGGTTATGTTAAATTAAAATAAATATCCAGCAAAAGATATGACAGTCCCCTCCACTGTGCGCTACATCGGTTGGGCTTGGCACTTAAAAAACTTCCAGCATGACCTGCAATTAGAAAAGGCCAAGAGATGAGCGAAATAAAGGAAACCCTGTATTCCGAAGAAACGCCGCCCATTCATTGCGCCTAAGTTAGCGTTACTTTATAATTTAGGCGTCCATGGATGTAGTCAGTTTAATACATGAACTATCACTCGAGTATAAGACACTGTCTCTGACTCAATGATAAAAACCCAGATATTCTCCCCCCACGCCGTAACTTAGTATCTCGGATAGCGACCCACCAAACATCGGCGCCGGGCTTTTCCGACGGAAACGCCGGAAAAGCGAGATGAACCACCGCCTCCGATGTTTGGTTGCGAAGCTCCGTGGGTTCTTTCTCCGGGTTGTGGGGCCGGGAAAAAGCAACGGATAAATATAAATTTTTTTGCTGACTGTACCTACTGTACTAATCCATCAGCTCCAGTTACCACGATAGTAGATACAATTACTGGGGTAGCAAGGTAGTACTACGTGTGTAGGGGTAAGCCTGTTGACAGTGAAAACTATTGCACCTAACTACGGCCACTGTCAGCAGACTTACCCCGACATGCGTAGTACATGATTGCTAGGTTATATAAACCCCATTGGTCTCCCGCCTTTCACCATGAACCAGCCAAGCAAGCCACGTGCCCAACGGTGGTTCTGAAAATATGGTAGCCCGAATCACTTATCATGATGCTACAGCATAAATTACCATTGAAAACGCAGGAATGATAAGTACTACTGGCATGAGTGCATATGAAGTAGTGTCATTTACTTACTCTATCACAGGGTCGTAGTACTATCGAGACAGAAAACGTTGTATAATAAAAAGCTAACTCTATGTTTCAAACGGGTTAAGGTGTTGCGTATTATCCAGAGAACAGCAGCTGGGCAACGCAGGTAGTGGCTTTTTTTTTTAACCGCATAGATTTTTTTCTCATCGTGGGGGCACCTCTATCTCGTTACAAGAGTCTAGACAGGTCTAGATGACGAGTTCAAAATATTAATCGATGTCGCAATCTCACATTTAGGTTGATCACCAAGCAAGGTCTGCACGGCTTCTTTTCGCAAAAGTTATTCATGAATTAACTCAGTATAACATTATCATCTTCTTCGACAAAGTATCTCTAATTAATATATGGGCAACCCGCTGCACTTGACTGAGCAAAAAAACGCAAACAAAGAATGTAGCAAAAAGAAAAAAGAGAAAAAAAGAGAACCCCTGTTTTTTCAAACATAACGCCCAGGCCATGATGATAGTAAAGAAGCCATAAAAACCATCTACCAAGTCAACTTGAAGTTGATATTTCCACCATCGACGTGTATGATATATTCGCCGCCATTGTTGCCCGGTTTCCTTGGTTCCTTATCGGGGCACCTCTGGACAACCTTCTCCAGCGCCGTCGCGATCATATCGCAGCGCCGTCTGACATTTTCAGGCGCACATATCAGGATTCCAACCCCTTCGTCACTCTGTACAAGAGTCGTGCATTCGGTGTCATTGGGCGGAGTTACGGGGGTTGTCTGCCTGCAGTCTTCGGTGCGCTCTCTGACGGTTTGGATGGCAGTGTCGATATTGGCTATTAGCTCGTCGTCGAGCATTGTTGTGCATATTATCTCGACGGGTGAACCTGGGGTCGGGGCGCAAAGTGCGAATGGAAGCATGACCAGCATGAGGAGGAAGAAAGTAAAGTTGAGCATTTTCGTAATTAATTGATATTCGTGAATATTCGTGATATTATGACTTGGCTAGAAAGTAATCTGGCCGGCAGGAGGAGGACCGGGGGGGGGGGGGGAGTGAGTGTATGCTGCTGTTTTCCTTTGTGATGAAGAAGTGCAGAAGGACTGCCGATATGCTAGATATATAGCTGTAGGTAGAGTGCAGCTTTCAGGTACGTCGGGCTCAGGAACGGCGAACTATTGTGCGTTTCATCTTGCCCTGGTCGTGTCGTTTCAATAGGCCGGCGCTTACTAGCATTTTCTATATTCTATTCAAACCTACATTTGGAAAGTTAGCTTCGGCGCTTGATTTGATTGGCTACAACCAGGGGAATCTATTAATATCGCAATTAATTCTAACCCCCAAGACGAGAAGAGAGTTTAAATAGCTGACTAGCCGTCAAGTTGGATTTTAGCATAACAATCAATTGGGTTGTTTGCCACTTTAGCATAGGAAACATTTGGATTCAAGTTCCGGGGCCGCAAAGGGGGATCCATGTCGACGATAGGTACACAGTCCAGATCTAACCGCTGATTGGCCAATTGAAGAATAGTTTAATAGATTGCGTTCATTCATATCGTACGCGGCCGCGACTAGGCGTCCCTAATTAGAAACCACACGAAAACGCAGAATTAGCCAATGTTCGAATTTTGCCTGTTCTCGAATGTTATGAGCGGGTCCCAAGAACCTGCCTTAGCGCGATTGTTTTGAGCGCAGTCCTTATTCCCAATTAACAGCCAAAGGGAAAAGGTTAGAGACTCAGTGTCGGAGGATTTGATTTCTGATACGGATTAAGACGGCCACGTTATGATCCACAATGTAGTTTCAATCTCAATCGGCACGTCACTCAATGTCTTTGATGTGAAACCGCAGTTTTTCTTTGGCGGCACTAGCGCCGATGCAACAGCTATAAAAGTGACCGAATGGTCATTTCCGTTTTCTGAATGACTTGAAATTCAGAGTATTGAACTCAGTGTATCTGAAATGCAGCGGCCATGTCTCGCCAAGATAATTCAGTTCTGACCCGTGGATTTTACGATAGCCTCGTCATTCCTATAAAATGCTTTCTTAAACATTAGATTCAACATACTACATAATTAATGAGAACTCTTTGAGGTCCACAAACTAGTGCGGGATGATTATTTTCTTGTCAATTTTCAAGATTTGACCGAAGCAGCCTTGATCAAGCCTTGTTACCCCACAAGCATTAGTTTCGAGGGAGAAAAAGAAAACGATTGACTCCAGTTGTCGTGATAGCTGCTCAACCCATTTGAGCAAGAGTGGCTTTAGGGAGGCTTGAGTTTTTGGTAGACTCAAAGGCGGGGGTGGGGGTGAAAGAAGCTCTAAATAAGGGCTGAAATAGTCCAGCCTAGGTAAAGTTTTTGACCCGGTCTGGTCCGCCTATCTCAAATCACGGACTATTGCCTTAGAAAGCGCGTGCATTCAAGGTCAAATAGGAGAGTAAGCTAGAACCGACTATAATCCTAATGATTGGCGCGAGGACTAAGTCTTGTCCCGTCTCATCTTGTCCCATAATAGCCTTGAAATCTCGAGACCTGAGGTAAGCCTGGAGACTGACATGTTAAAAATTAATCCAGGTTTTAGGTAAGAGCCTGTACATCAATCTATCTTTTCATCGTTCCGTTAACAACAGCCAAGAGTAAACGGTGAACCGAGGCCCTTGGCAAAAATTAGATTAAATTCAAGGCCAAAGTGCACATCCGATTTGCAGCCAATTAGATAAGCCTAAGGAGACTTGTTTTGGATCATTTACCATCACTCGGAGGTCGAGAGATCCCACTTCGTCCCAGGGCTGTCTCTGGACATTCAGTTAAGTGCCTATCATTAATCAAGAATCAAGATGAGGACGACAGTGAGATCGTCCCGTAGAAGATATTGTTCTTGACTGTCAATGGCGGCGTCCTGTTGTAGCGAATCTGAGACAGTTTCTTATCAAATTATCAGTTTGTATATATCTGACGAGAAACTCAACTTTATTTTTCAGTGCTCCCATGGGCAAAATATATCATATGCATACCAATACAGTTGTTGGCGCTGATTTCGGGCTCTCAGGCCCGGGAGTAAATTCTCCGAGTTGGGTTATGGAAGGAATCAAGGCTTTAAATTCCTAGGATTTTTGGTTCCTTCCCGGATCTCATGTCTACCAAGGAATGTTTTTCCGTAGTTGTTTGGAGGGGTCTATAAGAAGCATAAGATTTGGGTTCGGCCTATAGATTGATATTCTGTCAAATTAATCAAGACTTTGATAACGTTTTCCGCAGGGTGTCTTTAGTTTGTGTTGGATATTTGGCTCTTTGAATAACATCGAACCCGTACAGGTGAAATGTTTAAACCTATCATATTGACACCTAACATGTCGACACTTGTCCGAGCCGTTACTATATATGTATCTAGTTAGACCTTTGTCGAGACTGGAGTCAAGCCACTAAACCATCTCTCTTTTTTCCTGCTTTTCAACACTTGAAATAAACTTTAAGGTATATATGAGCCTATATTTTAGTATTTAAAACGTTAATAATATTTTTCTACGACTTGACGAAACGAGTGATTTTCTATGATTTGTTAGTTAGGGACACGATTTCACCGCTCTCGGACGCCCCCCGATACCGCCTATCAGTCTGGAACACTCCTAGATGAAGAAAGTTCGTGATTGGACTAGAGAATGGAATGCACATGTCAGGGAGTACAAATAGCACCCAACTTCTGAAAACCAACCCCCACCGCCCTGAACAGATCAGGCTAACGGCAACACAATGATGTCAAGTCTTCTGGTCTCGTACCAGTCACCAATAAACCCATGTCCTCTCAACACCCGAAAGAAGTACCGCGTCCGCCCCACTGGAATTTCGATAAGCACCCCGTTATAGTTAGTTATTTCCTATGCAAAGGAACTGTTGGGGAACTCCGGTCCACTCTGGCGCAGGAACCTCCCTGTTGATCGGAGAGGAGAGAGGCGTCCAATCCAAGCCAAATAACCAAGCTTTATCAGAACCTATGCACGACCCATCACATCTGCACGCCCATATAATTATCCATAGCCTCAACAGCACATTACGCGCCGGAAGGCTTTTTTGACACCGTGCATACTTTGGTTCCGAGTCATGCTGCCGTATCTGGTGTCACTGTAGTAAACCAGTAGAGGGGTGAGGCTTCGATTAGATCCATGGATCTGCTGTATCAGCCGTGCAAGTACATGTAGTCCGGCCGTCCATGAGGGTGTCACGAGGTAGACAGCATACCATACACACGCCTCGACCGCCTTGAGGCAATCCGAGCGGCAAGCCTGCGTAAGGCTAAACAAACTTTAATGTCCAGTTTTGCCCGCCTCAGTATGCCTCGTGAATGATTTTATTTATTCAGATCGAAGGGTAGTTATGAGGGCGGAGCAAAAAAAATACGAGAGCCCGGCTCACCCTCAACACACTTAACAAAAGTGAACCCCGGCGACACGTGACAAGGCCGACTACCTAGCCTCGTCCAGCCTCGAGTACCATAGCCACGATAAAACAGTCAGTTTGCATATTATATCGCCGCTCGGACTGCAATTAAACTTATCGCGCGTGCTGTAACTTGTCTTTTTAGGAATATTAACGTCCTTTGTAGCTGGTAATGTGCATTCGTAATAAGCTAAGTATTGTAGCCTAGTTGTATCAGACCCGACCTCAATGATTGGATGAGTACACTATTGATTGTAAGTTTATACTATTGCATGGGCCGGTCTTTTAGTGCTCACGGAGACGGGGATACTTCGTATTCCGGGCACTGTGTGATGCTTCATGATTGGTGGGATCGATCATGAGTGATAGTCTATGATCCCGGTCCTATCCCATAATCCGGTGCTTAGATGCTGTCTATTTGACAGAATATTATAATTACTAAAAGAGGAAGGGTACGGTGGCAGCCGAATATGTGTGTGATCCAGACACAAGCCACAGTTGAAAATACGCCGCCCGAATCAATAGGTAGCTTTAACGGACTATGGGATAATGCATTTTCTAAACCCACTCCGCCTGCGTCAATGATTTCATACCCACCTACTCCGCCACGGTCAGGTGTAACGTTATTATATTGATCTTTACTCAATCCCAACTCAGCCCAGGCAGCAGCTTGCCCATGGCCAGCTAAACGTCGGCCGAAATGTCGTCTTGGCACTCACTGCATGTTAGTGCAACCATAAGTCAAGTTCTGCTCGCGACAGTTACTTCCCCTTACTGACACTGTAGATTATTGCTCCGGTTATGTATATCTTTTATCTTGGCAAGTAGTTTTATTATAGTTCCTGTAACTTAGGAGCAGGGTTAGGGTTATTGTATTAGTAGATCTTATGTCTTTTGATATCGAGAAAGAATCGATAAAAATATTTTCTTTTTAGTAGCTTGGACTCTATCTCGATTTCATGGCTTTCGCTTTTTCTTCTTTGGTGTATGGCACGGCTTCTGTTTGTGGTTGCAGTCGGCTTTTGCTTTTAATTGTTCACTATGATCATGACGCCGATATTGTAATTTTCATATAGATAGAGAATGGTTTCATACAATGCTATATATAAGCTGCAAATACCGCAATCACTCGAGTCCACCGAAGGCACTCCCTCAATCAATAATAAGTACCTGGATAAAAGACAACCGTTGCGAAATCCTTACTATGCCTGATAGCATCATAAAATTCTTCTAAAAAAAAAAAAAAAGAAGTCCCACTATATAACCCCCCGCCTAACAAAGAAAAAGCCCAATTGAACCCCCATAACTCCAATAAAACACCCCCGTACATAGTAGTCCCAGCCTACCTCCCAATCTCTTCTTGATTTACGCACACTTTGACTGAGGCCAGAACGACACATAGCACTGCATCAGGCGGTCAGAGATCTGATCCATCCTCGTGTACCCCTTCTGCCCGCACGCCAGGTCCGCGGTATTCAGGCATCTTCCGCACTTGGTGATGTCCGCCGATGCGTCGGCGACTGTTGGCACAGCGGCGTTACCGGCGCTGTTGTGTGCTTGGAGGAGCTCCATGCAGTGATCGAGCTACGTATGACATAGAATTATTAGCAACTGTTGGGGTGGGAGGAGGGAAGGGGGAGGGAGGAGTACAGAGGTGCCGAAGTTTGCGGTTGCTGGAGCGACGTTGGTCTTGCGAAGGGTGGGAGGGGGGATACCGCCGGGGACGCCGTTGGGCGGGATAACGCCGTTGGACGGAATTACGGCCGCGGAGGTGAGTGTGAGGGAGAGGGCCGCGAGGAGGAAGGTTGTGTAGTGCATTTTGGCTAGTGAGTGATATTTTTTTGTTGTGTAAAAGGAGTGTGGTGACTAGACTAGCTAGTTTTTGGTGTTTGTGTTTGTGTGCTGAAGAGCTGAAGAGACTGTAACGTGTGAGGAGAAAAGTAACCTGGACTGCAGGCGGCCGAGGGCGTCGTATTTATCGAGCTGGCTCGTTGGGGGTGGTAGGGCATTCTGCAGTGGGGAGTTGGCGACCCGGTGAGGTTTCGGTGGGTGTACGAGACCGGTGAAACCGTATCGAAGCAACATTGTACGGTGTTGGGTGAGGAAGAATAATAACTAAGCTCTCTGCTTTGGCCGGTGTTCGGGTTGGTAAGCACTGTTTCTTATGTTTTGTCGTCGAAGGGGACATATTTGGTTGGTAATGTCTGTCTGGCTAATATTTACCGGAGTTCATTACTAGTACGTATAAGAGAGATGCGGTTATTGGAGCTGTGGATGGAGTAAGCGGACGTCGCAATAAAGGTCTTACAAAGTCTCGAGGTGCTTTCTGGACGATAGCTTTTCAGAACTCAAGTCCCAGGGAGAATTCTAGTTGGTTGTGAATTAGTAGATACCCAAATGTGGTGTTGACTACTAATTGTGCGCCTACCCGCGTCCGAAGTTCCCTCCATTGCAACCGCAACCACCACCACTACTCAACCACTCGACCACCACAACATTGGGCACCTACATAAACCACTCCCTTCGCAAACTCTCAAGTGACAGCACCCAAAATCCCAAACCATCTGAACTCACTCAAATTCCAAAACCCTCCCTTCGCCGGACCCAAGCGGCACAGCAATGCCTTATTTTAGAGTGTCCCCACCGCCACACAGCGGCATCCACCTGCAGAACATTCTAATTCTCCGCTTCCAGTACCGGACAGCTCCCGTAGATCAGATCATGTGTATCAGCCACCTGTTTTGCTTGAGTGCTGCCGTGGTACCGCGGCCGCGGCCGTCTCTACCAAGATTTTGCTACATGGTGGGCAAGCATTCTAATCGGCTGGTGTAACGTGAGAAGTGGGGTATGTATAATGTCGATAAGTGGAGTGATGTATACAACTTGTATACATATAAGGGCCATGCATAAGTACATGTAGTAGTGATATGTGGTGCTTTTATGAATATGCTATGGGAGGTAGGCAGACACGTGCTAAGGAAACGACTGACACGAAAGTGGTTTCAGTACGCCCGAGCCTGTGCTTTCGTCCAGTGTGCTTCTAGCAACGTCCGTTACACGTGGGATGGGAATATAGACTTTCAGAACCGGAGGTAAAGGATCGGGGGGTGCGTAATTCATTCAATTGACTATGGTCCTCTATCTCAAGCTGTATACGGTGCCAATGGTATCCAGAGCATGCCTCGTAGTAGCTATCATTTCCACTTGGGTGTATTCCCAATTATTCACATATCACGCACCTCAATAGAACCATACCAGACTTCAAGCTCTACGCATGGTATTCAGCAATCCCGATGACACTCTCGTTTTAAAAAAGAAGCTATCTATTATCCCTACCTCCTCTCCCCAGGGCATCATCTACACAGTCCTCCTATCCGTCATAACCCTCACAATCGCGCCCTCGCCGGCAATCTCCACAACCTACCACACACACACACATATTAGCCCCCCTCCCTACTCCCCTACTCCCCCTACTCCCCCACTCCCCCCAAACCCCATAAAAGGACAACATACCTTCTCATGCCAGCTCAACAGCACGCTCATCCCTCCTCCATCCCCTCTACTCGGCGCGACCCCAAACTCCCGCTGCGTGCTGCCCGTCGCCTGCATCGAGATCGCCTGCGCAGCACCGTTGTGGCGGGCCATGCCCTTATATAGATACCTACACCACACCACACCCATCGTCAGCAACCCACCTCCCCAGGAGCGAAGCAACTCACTTCATCAGCGTGTCCAGCAGCTCTGTTCCTGCAGGGCCGGAATACAGGCGCGACAGGATAGGTGACATCTCGACCGCCTTGATGCTCGATAAGATCTCGAGCACGGTTGCGAGGTGGAGGTCCTATTTTCGTCAGCTATAAGATCGGATGAAATAGGTAGGGTAGGGTAGGGGGTATTGGGGGAGGGGGGGGGTGCCTTCCCGGCGTCATCAGCGCCGTAGGGGACGTTCTGGAGGGCGGTTACGAGGGCACCCTCTTGTTCACCGCGCTGGAGCTGCTGGCGGCAGGCATTGGCGAGGCTCTGGATCTCGCTGGTAGGGACGGGGTCGAAGTGGGGGGTGAGGAGGTCGGCGGGGAAGGCGGCGTCGGGGTCGAGGGCGTCAATGTCGATGAGGCGGTAGTTTATTGCTGCCATTGTTGATAGTGTGGAGGAGGGTGGTGGTGGTGGTGGTGGTGGTGGTGGTGGTGGTGGTGGTGATGATGATGATGATGACAATGGTTGTCGTTGTGGTGGTGGGGGTATGTTGTTGTAGAGTAGGTACATAACTTGTGGGGAGCTTGCATGTGTGGAGTGTGCTCGGCTACCAAGGGTGCTTGCTGCTTGTGCAGGTACTGCCGTAACAAGCCGTCTCCTCCCATAGAGGACATAGGTACGCTACAGTCCTCATACTCCACTTACTCCACTTACTCTCCCTGACTTACCTGCACTATTGTTCTCTACATCTTAGCTGGGTGACGGGCGCTATGCAGGTGTATGACATGACAGGTGACGTATGTAGGGGGTTGTAGTTTAAATAATTTATACACATGTATACTCAGGCTCGAGGGGTTCGGAATGAGCCTAGTGATAAGCCTTATTATTCCATGAACACCACTTTCAACGAATAGAACTCTAATCCTAGCTCGATTCGAGAGAAATCCCGGGTTCTTGACAGCTCATGCACCCGGTTTTTGCTCTGTTATGCACAGGGAATGTCGTTATCATCGTGAAAATAATTACAACAGTATCTAGTGATCCAATTAACGGGGTGAACTTGCGCTTCTAAGAGTCACTCTCTCTTGGCCAGAAGGTCAGAAGACCGCCGCAGCTACCAGACATGCCCTTTATAGAGTGCTTGCTCCCTCCCCGTCTCTTCCTATACCCACATATTGCACAACATGCAAACACGAGCGATGTCCTCAGAACAGACAACCAAAGTCAAATTTTTCGTAATCTCTGACACCCACGCCCTGAAACCAAACCCCAATACGATATTCCGGAGCCCCTTTCCAACATGCGATGTTCTTGTTCACGCTGGCGACCTCTCTAGTTGGGGGACGCTCCTTGAATATGAGAAGACGCTCACCTGGATGAAGGCTTTCAGAGCAGAGCTGAAGATTGTCATACCCGGTAAGCCCTCTTCCCCCATCCCCCCACTCCTCACCCACTGACCTTATATGCCACAGGAAACCACGACATAACACTCGATCCACCGTACTACAATAAAATCGAAGATGATCGTGTATTGATCGACGCTGCGCACGAGCTCTGGACCAGCTCTGCGGCGAGAGATGCAAATATAATATTCCTGAAGGAAGCCACACGCACCTTCACTCTCAGCGGGGGCGCGCAGTTCAAAGTCCATACATCACCTTATCAGCCCAAATTCCATAACTGGGCCTTCAACTATGCCCACTCTGAGGATCGCTATAACCCGAAACCCACTTCACCCACGGAGACAGCCGTGCCTGGAGTTGCACCGATTCCAGAGGGAATAGACATCTTGATCACCCACGGCCCTCCGGAGGGCATCAACGATTTTGCGGGGCGGACCACAGAAGATAACGCCGGGTGCGAATGGCTCCTCAAGGCGCTGAAGAGGGTGAGGCCGAGAGCGCATTTCTTCGGTCATATCCATGAAGGGTTTGGGGCAACTCGGGTACGGTGGGGAGAAAACGGGGAGATGACAAAGGCCCAGGTGGAACCACCAAGTATGAAAGAGTTGAAGAAGATGGAGTTTCGTACGCGTGCGTGTGCTTCGTGGAAGATAGACGTGTCGAGGGATGGAGACAATCCTCTCGGGAAGAAAGGTGAAGAAACGCTGTGCGTTAATGCGAGCATGTTAGAAGATCCCGAGGACCCCGAGAATATTAGATGCGGGGGTGTGCTGATTGATATGGAGCTACCGGTTGTGTGAGAACTCCGAAAAAATGTTTTTTCTTTCTTTCTTTCTCTTTCATTCGTTTATAGGGACCCCGGCGTAGAAGCACACTTATGTAATTTTCATCCTTGCTCAGTCAATGGTCTTTCGTTTTTTTTCTATGTAAATTGTTCATATAGTAATTTCTATTTCTTTCTCTAGAAAAATTGGTGTTAGCATATAAAAATCCAAACGCGAGTTATGAGAGCAGGAATACCTTTAACGTTTAAAGCCAGGAAGGAAATGTATGGGAAGCTCACCATTTTTGATAGTAGATCTGATAAAATTGAAATGATTGAAGAAGTAAAGAAGTGGGGGGGGGGGGGGGGGTGATTCTCCATGAAGAAGAGAGGTGGTTAGAGATATATGTAGTTTTGTTTGCGATGACGTAGCATCACGCAGAGCACCTACATATCCACGCAGACATTTACTCTAGACGGGAGTTTGTGCCTGTGCCTACAATTATCCCAAGACTCGCGTCGATCATGCATGAAAGTGCTGCAACCACGCGGGTCTAGATCATTGGACCAAGAAATTACATCCCTTTCCTTCATTCCGCCGATGTAGAAGCTGGGCATTTTCAACTATCTATTCTAAAAGATAAAGATGTGCGAGAAATTAAGTTCAAACGGTTCTGTGGTTGATTAATTTAAATGTAGGAACTCTAATGCCACTCGTCCTAGGCCTTGCACTCCACAGGGAACCTGGTGCCCGCTATCCTACCGTAAGCACAAATAGCATTCAGATAAGAGACATCGGAATGTTTGGACTACACAAATCCCTGGAGCGTAATGATCGATGTGATATTGATGTTGAAAACAGGAATACCTAACGGGATATGTGTGCGACTCTATCGACAGAAAAAAGTATTACAACAGCCCATAGGCCGCAATGCCATACAGAATAATATCTCTTACATAGAGTGAAACAAACGATCCAAGAATGCACCGCTTTAATTACAATGATATGTAATTCAACTTCGACCAGACCAAAGCGCCAGCAAAAAAAAAGAGAGAAAAAAAAACCCCTAGAAAATAAAATGAAGCCTCGTAGAAATATAATCAAACGCCGTGTAAGAATTACAGTCCCAACTCATCCTCGCTCAGATCAGAATCAATTGTTTTTTTCTTTTTCGCCCGAAGTCTCTTTTTCTTTGAATGACGCTTTTCGGCTGATCTTTCTAGTATTTTTTTCAGGTCTTTCGACTTTGGTTCTACTAGGCTGGTGTTTGGGGATGCTCTAGGATCGTTAACGTTGACCATTGATCTAAGTGCGCCGAGAGAGGTGCGTTTCGGAGGACGGGAGTGAGGTGGTGGAGTTGGTGGCGGAGGTGATGAAGGAAGGCCTGCGACAGAAGGAGTATCCTCCTCCAACATATCATCCTCCATTTCCTGGTCTTGATATTCTTCATCTTCCTCGAACTCATCAGATTCTTCAAACTCTTCGAGTTCTTGTTCTTCCCCGGAAGCCTCTGATTCTCGTCCTCCCTTATATCTTTTGAATTCTTGTTCTCCCCCTTTTTCCTCGGAAGAACTGTATTCCATAATCTCAGATAATGGTATCTCTCTCGCGCGTTTCCGCTTAGATGGTGGTGTGGGGAGAGGTTGCGGGGATGAGTACGGGGAAGGTGAACCGAATTGAGCGTCACCAAATGATATATCACCAATAACCTCTTCCTCTGACTCGTCGTCCGTCTTATCGTCGTCCTCAGTGGGTTCCTGTCTTCTCTCCATTCTTCTCAAAACAGGTGATGAGTAGTCTTCCATCATCACTCCCTCAGAATCTAAATCTTCATCCTCATCCTCCCAGTCGTCCTTGTCGATACCGAGTCTTTTTATAGTGGAGGAAACTACCGAGGAATTCCTGAAGGGGGAAGAATCAACAACAACACTGAAATTGAACTGCTTCTTCAATCCGCTTGATTGGGTCCGTGACGGTGTCCTAGTAAACATAGGAGAAGACTTGATGGCAGAGAAATAGGCAAGGCTCTTCTTGATCCTGGCGGTACCACGGGGGGAGCGTCGAACTGTACGAGGAGGTGTAACTCGAATATTGGAGTAATAGTCGGCATCCCCGTCGGCATCCTCGTCGGAGTCATCCTCAACGAAAGATGACGAGGATGATGGGGTGACGGGTTGATCATCATCCTCTACATCTTCTTCCTCTTCCTCATACTCAGGCATGCCGACAGAGGCATCATCCGCCTCGTCCTCCTCAACAATAGAAGTTTCTTCAACATCGCTGGGGATAGCTTCATACTCATCTCTCCAATCGTAATCGACATCTTCGTCCGGCATCTCGACCTCAACACAGTCCATAAACAACCCTACTCTCCCCTCCTTCCTACCAGGAGTGGCGCCGACGGCGACCCACAGGTCCAGCCCTTCTTCATATCGCCATCCCTTTCTTTTCCCCTTTTTCTTTTCGATGTTCTTTTTCTTCCTTTGGTTGGCTCTTGTGCCCTTCTCCAGTTCAGCTTTCATATTCAGAGGTTGCAAGAAACATCTGACCCTCCCGGGTGTCTGAATTTTAAGGCCGATAACCTTGTGCTCAAACCTTCCTAGCCAATCAATCCATGAAGTATCTGATTTGACCTCCTCTGAAACCGAAAATGTAACGGCAATCTGAAGCGCCAATTGCGCAACCAAGTAACGCTTAGTCTCAAATAGCTCTTGATGCGGAGCAAGATCAGGTTTTCCAGGAGTAAATGTTACCATCTTCATTCCCGAGGCGTTCCGTGGAGTTTCAGGGGTCATTTCTGAAAATCCAGATTCCTCTTGTCCATGGGAAGATGGCCATGTTTTGCTTACGGCAGCAAGACTTAAGAGACGGTTAGCGAGTTGTTGGATTGGATCTTCCTTTGCCCGAAAAGCTCTATGGTAGAGAGGTATGTAGCACTCTACTATAAATCCCGCCAATGATCTTAACGCATGTTTACCGCCGGAACTACAGATATCTTCAAGACATCTCGCAATCTCGTCCATAATCAAGTTGTCATCTTTGGCACTACTACCAAGGCCTTGGAGAAGAATTGCGGTTTTAGCTGCAACTGGCCAATTCCCACCCCACACCTCCTCTGTACTGCTTTTGACTCCAGCATCCTGGACCAGAAAACCTCGCACGAGCTGTTTGATTATCCCTACAGCTTCTGACCTAGGTTTAAACAAGGAGAGGGGCACAAGTTCTCTAGTCGCTTTAAGTATTGTATTTTCTGCTTTAGTGGCAATATTATACGGCATTATTGCCGCCGCCTTTTTCGCAGCTTGGTCACTGTGGGATTTAGAAGTACGCGAGGTGCCTTTACGTCTTGAAACCTTTTGACGCCGAGCGGAAAGGGCATTGATATGCTCTTCTCCAAAGAGGCCAAAGGCTGCCTCGAGAGCCCGTGTTGTAAGAACTTCGAGACCTGGGTTCTCTTCAAGATCAAGTTGGAGAAATTTCCTGATGTCGGCACTTCCAAGCCAAGACGGATTCGATTGTGTCATTGGGAAATTCCGTGCAAGAAATCTGTAGATAATTTCCTGGTCCGAGAACCAGAGTTTCTGAAGGGTAAGAATCGGGGGGTGGTCGGAGGAGGAGATAACTGGAGAAACGTCAAATAAAGTCTGGAGGAGAGACTGGGCCTCCTGTTCAGCGCCACAGCTTCGACAGAGTCCTATTAGTACACCGGCCATCCCTATACCCCCGTTGTTTCCTTGTCGCCCTTTCATCAAGCCATTTGCAATAGATTCTCTGACAAGCTCAACTGCATGCCAGCGAACTATATCACGGAGGTATTCGCCACCAGAACCCAACTCTGCGGCGGCATCATACCAGATGTCATCAGCGTCAACCTCGCCAGATGTGGCAAGAATACAATGTGCAATTTTGCGGGCAGCAAGTGTGCGGAGGGGGAGAACTTTAATTTTGGGGGGCGGAAGTTTAGTTGAGAGGAGTACAGACTCGAGCGCAGTGTAAATGCCAAGGTAGACGGAGAATATAGAAGGATGGACATGAGACTTGAGTGAGTGGAGAAGTACGAGTGGGTTATTTGGATCCTGAGGCTTTGCTTGATGCGACCGTTTTGGTTGTGATTGGGATTCAGACTCTGCTGGGTTGCTGGCCGAGTCTCCCCATATTGAAAGATAAGAATCATCGACATGAATTGACGGCACTTCATTAGAAGCTGATGGCGGGTGATTCCTGTGATTTCGTGACCCATTGTTACCACCAGCTCCCACATATGTCCGCTGTGGTCTTGCCCGTGCCCGCCTTGCTCCCATTCCAGCTGTTCCCGCTGCCTTTTCAACTACTTCGACGAACAAAGCATCGGGATCCGTGGGGTCGCGTTTCGGCCTTGGACGAGCTGCATTCTCAGTGGTAACAGAAGGATTCGATTTCACAATGTTCCTGAGAGCCTGTAGCTTTGAGGAGAGCGGCCGAAGGAGACGGTGGCAACGAGCTGTTGTCCATTGTTTTGTTGGGTTATGAGAAGTAGTTGTGGTTCTAGTTATGGTTGAAAGACTACTTCTGGATTTTGGCAATGCTTCGGTCATTTCGCGGTTATCGGCAAGATTTGGTGGACGAAGCGAAGCTGTCACATGAAAACCTCCGGAATATCCAACTCGTTATTATTATCTTTGTTGTATGGATAGCGAATTCGGCGGGGGAGGGGAAATTGCTGATGGAGATTTCACGATGAAAACAAAAAGTGATGGTGGACGCGTTGAGGTGGCTACGCGTGTGGCTGAAAGTTGCCCCGTTGACACCTTGATAAAGTAGGTACCTACCTCAACCTTGTTAATCTCAGGGCAGGGCGATAAGGCGCTGCACGGTGCAGCTACTTTAGAATATGTAGAGCAGTGCCCACAAGACATGGAACACCGCGTTCTCAAGCACTTTCCCCTCAACCGAAGGAGCGATAAGATTACGATTGTTGCTATCATTGCTAGCTATAAATCCTTTTTTCTTTTTGATGGCCCATAGCTTATAGGGCAATACATGTAGGCTCTGGGCACCTCATGTCGTAAAAACTGGGCCTTGATAACCGCGGGATTGCGGCTCTACGAGTTTGTCCGATTGGATCAACTCCAGCTCTTGCCCTTTGGATCCTAGGCACGTATCCTTTCGAGGGGCAGGGTCCTGCACGCGACATTTTGCTTATTTTAGTGGGCATTTTTACTGTGGCGGCGGGGCATCAAATCTTTAGTGTGTGAGAGTTGTCCTCTAGAGTCTCTTGGTAACAGAATCGTCGAGGACGAAGAATGAGAAAAGCGGCAAAAGAAAAGGATAAGGAACAGAAAAAAAGTAAAATTCGGAATGTGAACATGCAAGGAAGAAAGGGAGAAGGTTGTCTTGAGGGAAAAACAAACTAAAAACGAGTCTTGATGTGGTTCCCTGGTGAACGACGAATATCACAAGTACAGCGTGAGGTAAAATTATTGTAGAAGTATGGGAAGAGTCCTATTGGCTTGCCCAGCCATAGAAACCCTGTTTTTAGACCCCTGTTTCTACAATAATTTTCCCTCTTGCTGTAGGAGCCTGAATATCGAAACCTCCCCTATCGTAAATCTTCATACCGAGACTCCGAAAATCTCACCCGCAAGGGCTCCTATACATACATGTAGCTTCTACATACGCAGAGAGCAATTTCAACCAATGCTTGTTTTCATATTATCAAAAGAACTTCACATGCAGCGCCAGTTGTTCCGGTCATCATACCGGTGGATGATGATAATGATGTTACAATATTTAACTGGAGAAACTGAGCGGCAATGTGACAATATTGAAGTTTGATATTAAGTAATACCAGACCTTCATGTGCCTTTTATGGCGTCTCTTTTCAAAGCGGCGGCTTCTTCCCGCAGTGGAGAAAATGCTGGAGAAATATCACCTATATAAATTTCATGGAGATTCTCGAGAATTCCTTGTCCGGCTGCCGCCAGAGGCAAGAAAGGATGAAGGGAACCGAATTCCTCTCCACTTGGATCCCTGCGCAGTGATGCCGCCCTAAAAAAAAGTTGCTTCCACAAATATCGGGGCGGAACGGGAAAAGCCAGTCTCAGCTATGCCTCTTTAAGGGTGAAAACAGGGATCGCTCCAGCCTCTGTGAGCGGCGTTTCACTTTTTTTTTTCCCTCGTCCTCAAGCAGTGTGAACAGAAATTGCCAAGACTTCACTCCTCCGACCCCGTTCAAAAACCCATCGTCCTCCGCAACTCTTTCCCTCCCTTCCTCCTCTCTCATCCATCCCCCTCTCTCCCATTTCATCAAGACAACAGTAAAGAATCGTTGACCCGATCTTTACCGTCATTCATCTTCTTTAGCCTCACTCTCCCCTCGAACGTTTGTTAAGATGTCGTCGACACAACAGAAGCCTCAGTCCGTAAGTTACCTGAATTTTCTTTTCTTTTTTTCTTTGGCGGAGCCAGACCCGATCTCAGCGGTGTTACCACTACCACGATCGATAAGATGAACGTCAATTGACCCTCCACGATGAAGTGGGGGATTCTGTTATCGTTCTGAGCCTCTTATCGTGACGGTTGCTGGGCGGTTGCTGGGCGGTTGCTGGGCTGACGGGGGTGCATCATGGGTTTCATCTGAATCGAAAGAATCTTTTGCTAACTATTATTGTATTAGACCTTCGTGGTTGACTTCTTGAGTACGTCCATCCATCAACCCAGCAATATCAGAAATGATACTGTTTTTTCTTCCGTTTTTTCCTCGAAATTTCGAGGAAACTCGATTAAAAATTCGATATGCAAGATTTAGATTGCTAACATCATTTCTTCTGGGCAACTACAGTGGGTGGTGTTTCCGCCGCCGTCTCGAAGACTGCTGCTGCTCCCATCGAGCGTATCAAGCTTCTCATCCAGAACCAGGTTAGTACATCTCCTCAATGGGCAAATATTGGAACAATATCTCTCTTCTCCCAACCGTTCACTTCATTATTCTAACCTTGTTTTGTTTGTATAGGATGAGATGATCAAGGCTGGCCGTCTTGACCGCAAGTACAACGGTATCGTTGACTGCTTCAAGCGTACCATGGCTGATGAGGGTAATATATATAAAATCCAGTTGACACTTTCCCATTATCTAACGATTTTATACAGGTACCGTTTCTCTGTGGCGTGGTAACACCGCCAACGTCATCCGTTACTTCCCTACCCAGGCCCTGAACTTTGCTTTCCGTGACAAGTTCAAGGCCATGTTTGGATACAAGAAGGACCGTGATGGTTACGCCAAGTGGATGGCCGGTAACTTGGCCTCTGGTGGTGCCGCTGGTGCCACTTCCCTTCTCTTCGTCTACTCCCTTGACTACGCCCGTACCCGTCTTGCCAACGACGCCAAATCCGCCAAGAAGGGTGGTGAGCGCCAGTTCAACGGTCTCATTGATGTCTACAAGAAGACCCTTGCCTCTGACGGTATCTCCGGTCTTTACCGTGGTTTCGGTCCTTCCGTTCTCGGAATTGTTGTCTACCGTGGTCTGTACTTCGGTATGTACGACTCGCTCAAGCCTGTCCTCCTTACCGGAAACCTTGAGGGCAACTTCCTTGCCTCTTTCGCTCTCGGATGGGGAGTCACCACTGGTGCCGGTATCGCTTCTTACCCTCTCGACACCGTTCGTCGTCGTATGATGATGGTAAGTTGATAATTCCTCCAAACTTACCTTTTGACCACATTCTTACACATAACAGACTTCCGGTGAGGCCGTCAAGTACAAGTCCTCTTTCGATGCGTTCACCCAGATCGTCAAGGCCGAGGGTGTTAAGTCTCTCTTCAAGGGTGCTGGTGCCAACATTCTCCGTGGTGTTGCCGGTGCTGGTGTCTTGTCAATCTACGACCAGGTTCAGCTCCTCATGTTCGGAAAGGCCTACAAGGGTGGTTCCGGTTAAACGGATCGACTTTGATGAAGTAAAAATACCTCTCGGCGGAGAGGTGGGATTAGCGTAATATGAAGGCGTCAGGGATGGGCGCTTAGTGTTAATAGTTAGAGCCTGATCTCTTTCATACGTCTAATATACAAAAAGTTTGTGTGTTGCGTTTGGGCGAGGTCTTCTTTTTTCTGTTGACAACTGGGTTCTTAAAAAAGACGGACGGGATAAAAAATGGGGTTTCTTCACTACTTTTTTGATTTCCTGTTTTTTTTTTCTGTTTGGTTCTTTGGTTAGGGTTTCTTTTTTTGTCGTAAAAATATAGAGACCCGTTGGTGGGTTACAGCATTATTCATCTCTTGTGAACCATTATTGTGCACACTGTCCTTATTTTCAGACCAAGGTATCTTCATATCGGATTTGTGGAGATTTGATATCAATCCCGAGGTTATGGTTTCGCCTAAAACGAGGCACAACATCCATGGATCGATCTTGCTCCCTACATAACGCATTTCGGAAAGGTGTCAACAAGCCAACACGTTTTGCAGTGAGGCGGTGGTGGCTTGGTAATTTCTTTCCTTTTTCCCACAAGCACCGTCGAAAATGCCACACGTATCCTTATTGAAAGAGCACATGTCTCGAAAGCATTGGTTTAATAGGAGCGTTTTGAAAGGTGTCAACGATTTATGAAGGTACTCTAGAGTGCCTTACAAGTAGGTACTTCACTTCTCTACTCTACGTATGTAGCTTGGGTGTTGAAAATAACTTGGAGAAGGGTGATTCCTATTGGATTGAACGGGTTGTGGGTGAGAAAGCAGGTACGAGTGATATGTTGTGATTGCACCCGGAGCTCTGGGTGGGCTTAGTGTGTCATAGTGGGGCTTTACGGTACGTATCGAGGGTTATATGTACTGGGTGCGAAATGGAGAGGGGCTCTCTGTACACCATGCTATGTTCACATTTGTATTGGTTCAATCACCTAGAAGGCAAGAAAACGGTGTCTGTATACGTTAAGAAGCAAGATCTATTCCATTCTTTAAGCATCCTCCGAGTACCCTTGCCACTAATTGAATCCTCCACTCGACCATTGGGTCTTTCACGTTAAAAGAAAAGTTCTCATCCCTTTTCTGAAACCTTGGATATATCCGTGATGTGTAGTAAATGGTTTTCCGTAAATCCTCCACTCAGTTAATGAACCATTCTAACGGTCGAGTGCTCAGAAAATGAAAAGAAGAAGGGAAGAAGGAAAGGAAACAGCTTCATACATACATGTACCATAGGTAAGGCAGGCAAAAGTAAGAAAAGAGTAAGGAAAGGTGATAAAGAAAAGAATGAAATTTAGCAGCAATAGAAAAGAAGAAAAATATCAATAATAAAAGAAAAAGAAATCAGGACTCCCACCACCGCCTTGGTTTCTCCACTCTCCTCTTCCAGGGCCCGAATTTAATTATGCTTAGCATGTATTATCTTTCTCCATGCAAGCTTCGTCCCTGCGTCCTCCACTAATAATCTCTGATACCCGCCGGCTCGGTGATAAAGTTCAATGAAGGGTCATCGTAATCGATTATTCCCTCTCCAGTCACCCCAATGGTATTGATCTCGTTGCTAAGGCCGATTGAAGCCAGTATTTCATTTTCTGCTGTGCGCTCGGCAGCCAGAAACTCGTCGACTGTGTAGCCACCGATGTACTTGCGTTCTTCCTCGGGGGGACAATACGATCGTTCTGGACCACGTACGAGGGGGAGTCTTGGGGGATCAAGGTATCCCAAGACCAAAAATGTCCACAAAAGAAGAGGTTCATGATAACCTGGATGAAGTTCATCGTTATGATTCCTTTTGTTTGGGGGGAATGAGTATAGGACGTTTTTCGTGAGGAGTAACGAGGAAGATGAGACGGTCTTTATGAGGAGTTATGAGGGCGAACGATGGTATAGTTGATGATAACTCGAGATGACTCACGCTGTGAGGGACAAGATGGAGAGAAGGAAGAGAGTGCAAATTTGTGACAAGTCTGGACACTTATATACGCTGCTAGGTGGCATAGCTACACAAGTATCATTTACATAGAATAGTCGTGCTATTTGTCACGTCATGGTATATCACTCGCACAAGGTATGCGCACTACCACGAGAGCCCCTTAGGCAGACAAGTACATAAGCGATAGGCCACTTCGACGTATCCTAGCTACTGTATGGGCGTTTAAAAAAGATGTTGTATGTCGAGAGGTGTACACACCGGTATCTTCGATGCTCGGACACAGCTCTTGAAGCTGCACTCTTTATATATTCAGACCTTATAGATATTTACCAGCTATGCTCAAATCTATCCTGAGCTATTCTATTTATATTCAAAACAAGAATTAAAAAGAGATGGTATGATAGAATTCTAGATGATGTTGATACATGTAGCGAAAACAATCTTATAATTCAAATAGTAATCTTTTTATAGGGATACTATTTTTCATTCCCTGATTTTTTTTTTTAGTGGACAACTGGTAAATGGACCGATTAGAACCATTTTATTTGACGCCTTAATGAATACATTTAGTGTAAGGTTAGGCGATTTGAATGGAGGCCCGGCCTGTAAAACCTTATTTTGTGTTCTGCCGCAACAGTTCTTCTTAGTATGTAGAGCGTAGGGTTCAGACTCTAAGCTATGAAAGAGTTGATTCGATTATTTCCTAACAAGGTACCAAATTACGCCCCGAGCATACCATTACAGAAAGTTTTCGCTGATGCAGCAGCCCCTTCGTTGCGGTTCTTGATACAGGATGCAGTTCTTGATACAGGAGATAGAATGGAATCAAAACCCCGACGGTTCGTCCTAGCCTCGGTTGGGGGTACCGTGTGTTTCCCCATACATTTCATCTCTTTCCCCCTCACATCTGTTTAGGATTATGCTCTGTCTGTTGGTGACCGTGCGGTATTATGTCTTTCCCAGCGGTCCTGGCTGGCTTTGAATGTTTGTCCTTTTCTGATGCCTCTATGGGTACGTGGCTATTATGGAGACCTCTGTTTCTTTCCCTGCAATAGTTGCACCAGAACATCCTCTGTTTTTTTGATCTATACATCTGCTGACAAGCCTCGTTATACAGAGTATTGGAAAGCTCATGAGCTGTGTTTGCTGGTGGGGAGCTGCAGATCAACTCCGGTGACTGGGGCTCTGGATGGAATAGGTACTCAGGTAGAGTACAATACCTAAATACTGCGGCCCATTACTCACTCTACAGAACACCACCCCAACACAGACAGAACCCACCCACCTCGCGACCTTCCATGGCGTCAATCGTGCTATCATGCTATCAACACGTGACCATCAACACCCAGTCACCATCCAACGCGTCGACCCCTCCAACCAAGCAAGCAAATCAAAGCGGGGAACGCCTGCATAGCCTAACCGCAACTATGGAGAATATCCGTCTAAGCTCCGAAGAAGCTCTCCGTCGGCGACGACAGCAGCAGCAGCAGCCGCAACTGGCACCCCCCACCAAACGACCCCTCGCCGACACCACCAACCATCCCGTGAAACGCATGAACAACGGCCAGAAGATGCTGGACATAGCGCCAGACTGGGGCGGCAATGAGATTACGCCCTCGCCTTCGCTGACGGGAGGTATCCCTGCTGCGTCGACGCAGATGCCGCCACCAACATCGACGCCGGCGGGATACAGGGACACGGCGAATCCGTTGTCACTGTCGAATCCGATGTGGGGGTTGAAGAGGGAGGTTGTTCTTGGCCTTGGGGCCTGCGGGATAGCAACCATGTATCCGTGGCAGCTGGCATGTCTGTCGTTGCCGGGATTGTTAGCGGGCGAGAAGAATTTGGTGTATACGGCACCGACGTCGGCGGGGAAGTCACTGGTTGCGGACGTATTAATGATCAGGAAGCTGGTGATTGAGCGAAAGAAGGCCATCGTGGTCGTGCCGTACATTGCAATCGTTCAAGAGAAGACAAAATTCCTCAAGAAGGTATTGGAGAAGGTAAAGGTGCAGAGTGAACCGCGAGGCGAGTGGGATAAGACCAGGCACTGGAGGGGATTGAACATTGTTGGTTTCCACTCTGGCACCAGATCCAGGTTGGGCTGGGAGGAGATTGATGTGGCCGTGTGTACGATCGAGAAGGTCTGTCGTTTTTTACTGCCACTACTATCATTAGAATTTACATTATATAGAAAGAAACCTACCTTACCTATATCTCTCTTCCACCTGAAATAAAAGCTCCACAAGCTTAGACACTATGTGTGTAATACTAGGCCAACGCTCTCGTCAACGCCTCCATCGAATCCCGCACCATCGACACCCTCGGTATCATCGTCTTTGACGAGCTGCACATGCTCTCAGACCCGCACCGCGGTCACATCCTCGAGCTCCTCGCCACTAAGATTCTCTGTCTCACCGATGAACACATACAGATTGTCGGCATGTCCGCAACACTGTCCAACACCGCCGTTGTCGCTAAATGGCTGCAGGCCGAGTGCTACGAGTGCACATACCGCCCCATCCCGCTACAGGAACATCTGGTCTATGACAATAGCATCTACAATGCGAAGATGCAGCTGACAGCACATATCCCGCCGTCAGAGCTCAAGGAGCTGAAGGACCCGGTGACTAATGCGGTCGTGGCGCTGGTGTATGCGTGTGTCAAGGAGGGGAATGGCGTGCTGGTATTTTGTGAGAGTAGGAAGCGGTGTGAGGATTTGGCGCTGCTGCTGATGAAGTTTATGCCACGTCCTAATGCAGAGACGAGGGAGAAGCGGTCGGAGTTTATTAGTGATCTTACGGCGACAAGTGCTGGGCTGGATATTGTGTTGGAGAAGACAGCCCCCTCCGGCGTCGCTTTTCACCATGCTGGTGAGTCTTAATATTTCCATCACCATTGCTCTCAAATGCCGGAAGATCAACTGCAACTTCATAAGACCATACGCCGTGGGGTTGTGTTGCATCATAGATTAGTCGATCTTTTGGAATTTTCCCACTAGTTTAAAGGTCAATGATTGATTTTCCGGTTTTGCTATCTTAGGCCTCACGACCGAGGAGAAGGATCTAATTGCGGGAGCATACGACCAGGGGCTTCTTAAAGTGATCTGTTGCACTGCAACTATGGCAGCAGGCGTGAATCTACCTGCAAGGAGAGTTATCATATCACCGCGTATGGGCCGTGATTTTATAACGCCTGCTATGCTGTGAGTATATGGCTTTTCTAGGGATAATTAGGAGACTTGGACTGATATATGTGGGTTTCCAAAGGCGGCAGATGAAAGGACGAGCTGGGAGAAAGGGGAAGGATACGGTGGGGGAGAACTTTGTAGTCTGTCGGAGGGAGGACCTGGAGGCGGTTAGGGCGATTATGGACGCGGATATGCCGAGTGCTAACAGTTGCCTTACTGGGGAGAGTGAGGGTCTAAGACGGTATGCCTCTCATAATATCTTGGAAATAGTACCATACTAACTAATATGCTACAAGCGCTCTCCTCGAAGGTATTGCGACCAAACTCGCCACCTCCGCCGACTCCCTCGATGACTTCCTCCGTTGCACCCTCCTCTTCCACACAACACCCACTCCAATCGCTACCCTCCGCCCCCTCATCAACACAGCCATCACCTCCCTCACCACCTCCAATCTCATCACCGTACACCCCTCCACATCCTACTTCTCCGCGACACCTCCCGGTCTCGCCACCGTCGCCGCCGGCCTCGGCCCCGACGAAGGCCTCTTCCTCCACGAGGAGCTCTCCCGCGCCCTCAAAGCCTTCAACCTCGAGTCCGACCTCCACATCATCTACCACTTCACCCCAATTCACTCCACATCCACCTCCAGCATCACAATCGACTGGAAGCTCCTCCGCGACGACCTCGACACCCTCTCAGAGTCTAACCTCCGCGCCGCCGCCTTTGTTGGCGTTAACCCAGCATTCGTAAACCGCATGGCCCAGGGCGGCACACTAAAGGAGGACACGCCTGCAAATATAGAGAAGGCGAGGGTCTATCGGCGCTTCTACGTCGCGCTAATGCTGCGCCAGCTCATCAACGAGCGACCCGTCCACGTCGTTGCGAAGTCGTACGACATTGCGCGCGGGTTCGTGCAAGGGCTTTCCACGACGTGTAAGGGGTTTGCGACGACGAGCGTGACCTTCTGTAAAGTGATGGGGTGGTCGGGGCTCGCGGTACTGCTCGAGCACTACTCCGGGAGGCTGGATCTGGGTGTGCGCGATGATCTGATGGAGCTAGCGAGGATCCCGTTTGTCAAGAGCTGGACGGCGAGGGTGTTTCATGAGAATGGGCTAAAGAGTATTACGGCGGTAGCGAACGCAGAGGTGGGCGAGTTGGTGAGGGTTTTGGGGCTGGCGAGGTGGGGGAGGGGAGGGAGCGAGGATGAGGGCGTGAAGAAGAGGTTGGAGGAGAGGGCGGAGGTCATTTTGAAGTGTGCGAAGAGGCTGTGGGATCAGGAGTGTGTGGGGGATGTGGATGAGTATTATTAGGTAGTTAGTTTTGTAGATTGGCTATTGGAGTAGGGCGGTTTTTTTTAATTGGGATTCTACTTTCTATATGCTTTCTGCTTTCTTTCTTGGATATTGGAGCAAGCGGCGTGGGGACACGTATGGTTATGATGGTTAACTTATGGTGGTTATATGTACGTCTTTTTTGAGTTTGTTTCAAATGCGATACCTTATGGCTTTGAGAACTGCGTATTTAATTTTGATAGTTTAAAAGGATACTGGTTAAGTGGTTATGATTGTAGACAACAATTTAAGTGCGGGAATACGCTGCGGTCGGGCTCGGAGCTCGGTCATCAGTGGTCACTCGGCATATGGGCTTGGCACCGGCCAGCTTAGGCCGGGGAGGACCATAAACCACCCTTATATCATGCCGTCCCGATCCACCTCCGAAGATATTCACAACCCTAGAAATATATATACGCCCTTTATTCATAAAGTTTATTTGGGAGGGTTTACTAGCCCGGTATGCTGGTGATGTTCGGAAGGTCTGTATATATTGATGTAGGATACATGTATTTATACTCATGTTCCAGTGGTCGTCATGAGATGACATATACTTGCATACATGTAAATGTACACACAGTGCACTTCCGTGTGTTTTATTTGATTATAACTTACATGAAATACATGTAAGTATACATGTAGACTCTAAATACAGACAGATCGCAAGGTTTGAGAATACGCTCCTATACCGCAGTCCTCATCGTGTAAACATATATACTGTGTCCAGTTCCTATTTTGCTCGGGTCTATCGTTTCTCATGTCACGGCTATTTTTACAGATGCCAAGGGATATTTCGCCGACATGCAACGGTGTCTCTTTCGCTATGAAACAATGTGGCCTTTCGCCCAGAGGTTACCCTCCTGCAAACACGTTTGCTTAAAAGCCTTTTTTTGCCCGTATTCTTCTCTTCCTCTTCCCTTTTCTCCTTAGGGGCAGCGGTAGCGAGTGGCCTTCCACAAAGGGTAGAGTCTCGCCTACCTTTTCTTGCTTAGCATTTTCTAACTTTGTTTTTGTTTATTAGACTATATTTCCGAAAAAAATAAATTATAAGTATTTCCTTTCCCTTCTTGCCTTTGTCAATTTCTGACCCCATCTTGTATCAGCCCATATCCATGGTCTCACTTTCTGGGATCGTTGTGGTGCAGAGAGCATGGACACTACATGGTGAAGTAAAGGACGCCTAGACGTGCCATTCCTATTGCCAAGTTGTTTGGACTTGGTGTGGGAGTTGTGCGTGTTGGTGTTCTATACCTCACTATGTCGTGTGCATACTCTTTCTGCTACAACGGATTTAGAATGTGAGATTGTGTTCGGTGGGATCGTGATGCTGGGGTTTGTGTGTTTGGATATTTGGTTTCATTTCTTTATGTTTTTTTCATTTTTTTTCTTATCTTCGAGATTTTTCTTTGCCATGTAAGGAACGCTCTTTTTCCCACTGGGTTTTTTAATGAGGTTCCTGGTTTTGTCATGTCTTTTCATTTTTCGATTTCATTTTATTTGTCATTTCGTTTGTTATTTTATTTTTCATTTCATTTATTTATTATTTGTTATATATTATCGATAATATATAACAACAACATCTACTACAACAATAATGAAGTTAATTTCCAATCTACATGCAAGTTGATATCAATTTCATCTAAATCGTGATCATGATCTGAATGAATTATATATATGCTCGTCATTTTATGAAGCCATTTATGAAGCCCTTTCCAACCAAGTTATTAATTCTTATCGTGAAGCCGCTTGATCAATTGTGACATCCGGAGCCTGTTCTATCTGTTTGCCCATATGTAGACCATCTACATATCGCATAGCATATTCACTTCCACCCGTGAAGCCCAATACCCATCTAGCGGTTACTATGTCGAGTGATAACCCATGAATCACACTACACCGTCCCAGCTCCAGCCATATCACCTAGAGCACCATACCATATTATCAATACCAAGCATTATAGTATCGAGGATAGTAAAATAGAACACAATTCCCTCATGAACAAAAAAATAACAACGGGAGTTTCCTCCCCCTGCCATAGGTAGTTGCCCGCCGGGGTTCAAAGGCTCGATCGAACTTGGGCCGCTACGCTAGCACTTGTCCAGTTAAATAAACCGCCCTCTTCCACAAGCGCCGAATGAATGACAGAGATCTAATCTAATCTTGGGTGAGCTGTAGCTAGCTGTAAATCCAGCTACAAAATAAACATCTCTCTCGCGCACTACCCCCAAACCCATGCCTGCCACCCACCACACCACCAACCGGCGGCGCACAAACCTAACCCACTTTCGGCGCACATCCCCTAGCTCGCGCCCCCGCGCGGGGATTGGTTTCCCCGCAGAATGATCATCCCCGAGACATTTGGGTTTGCGATTGTCCTCCGCCCCGCGTATCACGAATATATGGGTAGGTTTTTAGGGAGAGGGTTGAGTGGGGGTAGCATGGGTTGGGTGGGGAGTGGTGATGGCCGGCCGGCCGGCCCCCTTTTTATGGTCGGGGTTCGGTGCGGCCTTTTGTGGGGCTATGTCGGTGGGTTTAGATTCTCTCTATTGTATGTATTTATTGGATAATTAATAATACAACAGAATACATTATTGCGGTACTAAACCCTAGACTTATAATAGAATACCGGCAGCTATAGGGTGAAATGGCAGCTAGTATGAACATGTGCAGTAACATCTAGGTATACGGTACATTTTCAACCCTTTCCCGGCCCCCTAGCACTAATTTCTAAGGGAGTAATTCGATATCTCGTAGAATACAAATGTAAACTAGACTACAGTCGTCTCGGGGTCAACGACGAAACCAGTTCGGTGGCGAATAGGCCAATCGAAGCCAATAAAAGCCAACAAAAGCGCCCCGACCCCTTTGCTTTGACTGACTATCAGCCCAAAAAGTAGCCACTCGTCATCCAGCCGGGTTTGTCGTTGACCCAGAAACGACTGTAGGGGCAGCTTGTTTTGTAGGAAACCTCGAATTTATATGGGGCTTAGTAACTACCTAATTTTTATAACTCTAGTCTAGATCTGGGCCATGCAGTCAGTACGTCCTACCTTTGATAATTGTCGTATAAGAATGGGAATTCATAATATAGACTGTTAACTTTATAAATATACCTAGAGCACCTATTCGATAATACCAAAGTATCAAGTCACGATATTGCGTTGTGGGCGAATTTCGGTATCTATTCCCAAGCTTGCATTTCTAGATCTGGAGCACGCGCGCGTATCTACATACTCAAGTAGTTAAGCTACCTATATAGCTCCTATGACGATTAGAGTATCTACTTCCTTAAGCTCAAGGCATCAACCACCAAGAGGCTCGTGCACCGAGCTAACTACCCCCATACAATACATGTACATGTGAGACACACTAATAGAAGACCCACTACACCGCAACTGTATTCCAACCCCGAAAGCGTCGCCCAGCGGAGATAGATATATTCACATAAATACCATCATACTCCCATGCCCAATTCCAACCTTCAATCCCTCAGCTAGTTCTCAATCCTCCATCTCGCAGACTTGCTTTAGAATTCATATTAACCTAACCCAACCTCCAAAATGAAGCTCCAAACCGTCCTCCTCCTCCTCGCCTCTGTCGTCTCTGTCCACTCCCAACTTGAAGGTGCGCCAGTGCTCAGTGTAAGTCCCTTGCCATGGTCCTCTTGAAGCGTTATGCCTTCTAACAACCCATCAGGAATGCCTTGAGCTCATCGAGAGTGGGGCTGCTCAATCTGCCTCGAACCCGGACCTCGAATTGCAAAAATGCCTAGAGTGCACGTAAGTTTCTCCCGCTCTGAACCTCCTAATCGTTATTGCAACAGTAGCTAATGCGCAGCACCGGTAAAAACAGTCACGAAGCGGACAGAAAGTGCCTTTCAGACCCCACGGGTGATCCTACGACCTTATCGCAGCGTCTCACCGAGCACTCGCAGACCCGTTGCGGAGAGATTGAGTGTGCGCAGATCATTTTCGGCACTGCGGATGGGGCGACGAAGAGAGATATGGAGGAGAGCTGCACAGGAAGGTTGTGTGTGAAACCTCCCCCGGGACGTTAAACCGTCATTTTCTCCTTTTTTTGTAAAAATCGACATCTAAACCGCGAACTGGGTTAGCCTGTATTTTAAACTAGAGGAAAGCCGTTTTTTTTTTGGAATTGTCTTCTCAGGCTGGTGCTTTACAGGTAGATGCAGTACGTACCATAGGCATTAATCTTTAATTCGGGTTCTGTAGTAGTCTGTATCTAGGAGTACATGTATGTTTGATGCACAGAATTAAGCATTAGGTTGAGTATGTCATAAGTAATCTGCTCGTACTAGGGCCTTGGTGCGCATGAAACCAGCTTGTTAATGGGTATATCCTCATTGTTTTGATACGTGTTTATCACGACTTTGTTAGAGCCTGTTCCTTCGAATTCTTCTCTCGTTACTTCTTTAGTTCAATCATACAGTTCGATTCTCTTCCGTCTCTTATAAATTCGCGACCTGGTCAACACATATATCATCGTAAGTGGAGCAGTGGCAGTGGCAGTGGCAGTGGTTGTCTATGGGGCCGACCAATATTGATTCGAAGAAAAGGTTCGTCTCAGATGTGTGGTTAACATAAGAGTTGTCCGACATATTGATTACTGACAGAAAAGATAAGCATGGTACATAGGAGCTAGCTAGCATCTCCATGCATGGTCACGCGTATGTACTAGTACCTCCTAGCTAACCAAGCTTTTCTACAAGATCTAGCCAGAAGTCTTGTTCCTTCCCCACAAGGACGTCTTCTACACCTGTCCAGGATCAATAACAGGCAAATCCCATGCCTATTACGTCTCCATAGCTTCACGACGTACGGCCGATCAAAGTATACAGTTTTTTACCGTCTCTTGACGAATACTGCCAGTTGACGAACAGGGGACTTTGGGCCAATAGAAATTAAAAGGACCGGAGATCTCGTTTCTTTCCATACTTGGAATCCCTGTTCGTCAAGAGGCAGTATTCGTCAAGAGACGGTAAAAGACTGTACCGAGTATGTATTCGGGGATATCCAAACGGTGTTAGAAACACCAAGTAACAAACACCACCCTCACAATCGACGGTAAGCACGCGTACAGCACCAGTATCCACATCTAGGAAGGGCCGCACCATCACCTCTGTAGCTATCTCGGAGCGGGGACGTTTCCAGCACCTAATAGGGCTCGAGTAACAAGCAAAGGACATCCGGAGGGCCCGGTTAGCTCGCTGGCAGTTAAGTAATCGCCACGAGCGGTCTCTGCCTACGTTGTAGTAGTTATACAGTGTGTGTATAGGACTCTGTTTTATTTAAGGTTTTCGTTTGTTTAGACTCGACTCCATACCCGGGACTTTGAGAAGCTCACCGGACGGCATATCGTTCCGGGGGGTGGTCAGATGGCAGCAGAAAATTCAGATATTAGCAGTATGATTAATCAGACATTTAATGCCGGCCGGCCTATTTACCTATTCCTGGGCGCATGTTTCCAATCAGCCAGTCACCTATTGGAGGAGCAAGAGCTTGATATCGATAGGCGATAGGTACTAAAGCTGGCTGACCTGCAGTATTTATTGACATACCTACTCGGTCGTTAATTAAAAGGTCGGAAATTTTAGTAAGCATTTGGTTGCAACGATATCCGACCATTTAATTAACGCGCGAGTACAGCGAGAGGGAAAATTATTGTGGCAAGCCAATAGGACTCGTACAGTCGTCACTGGGTCAACGACGAAACCAGTTCGATGGCGAATAGGCCAATCGAAGGCAATAAAAGCCAACAAAAGCGCCCCAACCCCTTTGCTTTGACTGACTATTAGCCCAAATAGTAGCCACTCGTCATCGAGCCGGGTTCGTCGTTGACCCAGAAACGACTGTACCCAGTCTAGTATTTTGTGGTTGCTGTGCCAAGACTTTCTGCGAAAGTTGGCGCAATTGGCAGAAACTTTCGCAGAAAGTCACGTGACTGCCAAGAAGTTTGGGGGTATTTCTCAAACCACAGACTCGATATCACAAGCTCCGTTATTCCCAACACTGCCGCGCGACAGCGTAGCTTTCAGATCTCGGGACCTGCATCCCTCACCGGGTTTCCCCCATGGATCCATTGCTTGAACATCACTCGGGTTTACGCATCACAGATCATCATGCCGCCTACCTAGAGTACTCTATCGAGAGCAGAAGGGCCGATAACGCATCGAAAACAGCTGTCAGCCCCCGTCACTCAGTACCTACTCGCTCCAGTACTCTACTCTAGAGTAATATAACTGTGTGTATGTACCCCATCAAGGGCTTTCATCCAGTGTATCACCAGATCGACGATCTCATCGAAAAAAGGGTCCCGCGTCACTATAATTCCCGGTGTCCTGCTTGCTGCAAGCAGCCAATCCCTCGTTGCATTTTGGCAGTTGAAACCGTTTATGTAAGGCTGACGTGACCGGGTGGACAAGCGGGCATGTATGGGGGGCGAGCCGGTTTCACTGCCAGTGCTGCTGCTACCTGACTGAGCGAATTGTGTCTGCCGGGCAGATATAACTCGGCCGCGGCCTTTTTTTCCCCTCTCTCACTCTACTATACCTGGGGGTATCTTATAGCTTGAGGTGGAAATTACCTTTTAATTATTTTCACCTCCAATCTCACCTCACCTCACCTCACCTCACCTCACACTATTGCATTGCGGGATTGATATGTAAGGGGTCCTTCCTTGTTTGTATGGTAGGTAATTCTCCGCGTGCGGAAACGGAAACGGAAGCGGAAACGATAACCGAGCCCGTGGGGTGGGGAATTGTCGGTAGGCGTGCTATTACAAATATGGACTGGGTCCGGAGTTTGGTGGTGGGGTCAATGATTCTACTTTAGAGTAGCTGTAAAGTGAATTTTTAGAGACCTAGATATTTTGATTAGGGAGGAGCAGAGCAGAGATCTGGGGAGCCGCTCCCATAAGCATTAGTAGGCATAGGCTAGGTACATGTACGGTACTGTATGTACCTAGTAGGGCGATCAAAACAAGGCAAAGGGCCAAATCAGGAACCGAGTCGCTAGCTTGACGCTCAACTGTCATGGCAGGCTGAAATTTATACCTAGCGTGTTATCTCCTAGAGCACCACTCTGCTATCAACCAACACCCTCCACGACATCAAAGTCTCTGGCTGAACCCATTCGTTACTACTGGCTGTAGATTAGTGACCCCCCCATCACCGGGGGCAGTAGAGAGTGAAAAACTTCCCAGCGTTTAGACCATGTACTCGCTGCTGCACCAACCACACCACCGCGTGCCAGACCCCTGCAAGTTGGCCCATACTGTTCCCCACATCTAGACCAAGATCCACCCCCCTGCTCAGTAGAGAACCTATCTTTGCTGTGCTGTCACGCTTGTTTTTTTTTGTCGAAGTACCGCTGTGCTTCCTGTTTTTTTCTTTTCTGTTGCTAGAGGTGTGGATTTGCAAAAACTCTTGCTACCTACTAGCTACCTACACCACGTACTGCTCCTTCGCCGCCAATTCTAAACTTCAGACGAGAGAGAAGAGAGCAGCTAGGTAGTCGATAGCCATACATACGTATAGCAGCTTTTCTTTCTATCCTTCTATCAGATTCGGATATCCACCCATCCATCCATTCCCACCCACGCATCCATCTACCCCATCTACCATCTATTCATCTCTGCTGGCAATTGCGGGAACAGAATACGATGCCGACCTCGACAGGCGTGAGCAGTGTCGACGTGAGCTGGATGCATTTCCCCCACCGAGGTATGTCTGTCTATCGTCTGTGTTTGTGTGAGTTGTGTCGCAGATCAGATTGGTCCTCGACACATCTCACTTCCAGCCAACAAGCTTTCCCCCCATGGCTGGCTGGCTGGCCAGTGCACAATAACAACCACAACCACAACCACAACCACAACCCCTCCAACATCTCCCCTCAACCTCAACCTCCCCTCCTTCCCATTCTATACATGCCATGCCATGCCATACACATTGCCATACCCACAATCCCATCATCTCAAACATCGTAATCCGTACATAGATAATCTGTAATCCATAGCTAACCCAACGACGCCATGTCAGAATCCCGTACCCGTTCGCACTCCAGCCCCAGCCCCTCCACCGTCTCCCTCTCCTCCACCACCACCATCCCCCACCACCCCACACAGCCGCACACAACCGCCTCCCCCAGCCTCACGCACACCACCGCCGCCGCGCCCCTCCCCCCACGCCCTCCCGCCGCGGCTCCTGGCTCAGCAGCATCTCCAGCAAGTTCTCCTCCAGCGCCTCCTCCACCTCTGCCTCCGACCCCACCGCCACCACAACCTCGCCACCCGGCAACCCCCCACCACCCGGCTTCCTCATCAGCACGCTCCGCAAACTCTCCACGCCCGGCCGCAGCGCCCGCGCCGGCGTCTTCGCAAGCGAGCGCGTGGTCCTCAACCGCGACCCCACGCGCGAGCGATGCAAGATCACAGAGCTGGACGGCGGCAAGCTGCGCAAGGTGGCGTTCTGTGTCGATGTTGAGGTGGCCCCCATCTTTGAGGACAGCAAGGACAAGGACAAGGACAAATCGCGCAGCGAGAAGAAGCGCCGAAAGGCCGAGCGCACTGCAGCAGCAGCGGCGACAACAGCAGAGACAGTAGAGACGGCGGAGGAGCGCGCGGCGCGGAAGGAGCGCAAGAAGGAGCGGCGTACGGCGGCGGCGGCAGCAGCAGCAGCAGCGGGGGAGACACCGCTGCTGCAGATGGACCAAGCGGAGACCCCGCCGGCGCCGGTGCCGCCGCGGAGGGTCATCCATGCGGCGCCCACGACGGACCCTGCCAGGATCTACAGGCAGGTGTGTCAGCTACGGGAGACGACGATGGTGCCGCGGGTGGTTGAGCAGCTGGTGGCCCCGGTGCTGCAGGTGCTGGATCTAAGTGGGCACAAGTTTGGGCTGGCGGATGCGGTGGCGCTAGCGGACTTTCTGGCGCTGGTGCCTGTCAAGAACTTGTTGATGGAGGGGTGCGCACTGACGGACGAGATGGTGCGTGTGGTGTTGTGCGGGCTTGCTGTAGTGCGGCCGCTGACGGTCTCCCCTGGCGGCGGGGGCGGGACGAAGAGGGAGGAGGGGGCGGGGAGGGGCGTGATTGAGCGGTTGAGCTTTAAGGATAATCCGAAGATTGGGAGGGATGGGTGGCGCCATATCAGTTTATTCATCCACATGTCGCGCAGCTTGAAGGCAGTGGATTTGTCGCAGATCACGCTGCCGAGGCCACCAGCGGTGCATGCGCCGTCGCATCCGGGCCATCCGGGGCATATGCATAGGGCGAAGAAGGAGAGGACTTTGCCGCCGAATGATACAACGGCGCTGTTTGCGCGTGCGCTGGGCGAGAGGCTGGTGGGCGTGGGACTGGAGGAGGTTGCGCTGGGAAGGTGCGGGCTCAGTACGGAGCAGCTGGCATGTGTGATGGCAGGGATTGTGAAGGCGGGCACGAAGAGACTGGGACTGGAGGGGAATGATATTGGAGATGACGGGCTGGCAATGATTGCAAAGTGGATCAAGGGCGGGCCAGAGGGTGAATCGGTGTGCGAGGCGCTGGATCTGTCGAATAACAGCATACATGTGAGTAGCATTCACTCCTTTTTATCCCTGAAATCTCGGGCTAATGAAGGAAATAATAGGATCATGTCGATATGATTTCCGCTTCTCTCACAGACACCTCACCGCTCATCGCATTGAGCCTGTCCAACTGCAGCCTTTCAGCAGCAAGCCTTGCCAGTCTTCTGCCCGCACTCACAGCGCTCCCGCGATTCCGCCTCCTCGACCTCTCCAACAACCCGCTCCTTTTCAGCACGCAGCCCGACGCCCTCACGCTTCTCCGCAAATACCTCCCCCGCCTGCACAGCCTGCGCAAGCTGCAGCTCGGCAACACCGCCATGACGCCTGACCACGCAATCGCGCTCAGCGAGATCCTGCCCGACATCCCCATGCTTGCGCACTTTGATATTACTGGCAACACGCTTCTGCTGCCCGAGGAAGGCGGCAGCCTTGAAGAGGGTGCAGCGCTCTTCACCGCCCTCGTCGCCGCCGTAAAGGTCTCAAAGACAATCGTGCGCGTCGACACCGACGACCCCTCCGGCGACGTCATCAAGGCCCTCGCCCGCCGCGTCCTGGCCTACTGCCTACGCAACATGGAAGCCGGCGCCTGTGACGACTGGACCATCGATATGCCCTCCTCGTCGCCGACCGCCACCACCGCCGCCGACGAGGACCCCGATGCAGACGTCGACGATGACGAGGATGACGGCGAGGACGAGAACTACGTCGTCGGCGGCACAGGTGTCGTCAAGGCGCTCGGCGTCTGCCTTGGAAATACCACGGCGCTCTCCTCCGGCGAGGGTGCCCACGAGATGGCGCGCACGCTACTGACCCGCGCGCGGAAGATCAAGTCCCGCATCCAGCCCGCACTGCGGAAGGCCGTCCATGGCGAACTGGAGGAGGCGCAGCACCGACGACTGATCTTCCTCGACGAGACGCTGTATAAGGTGATACTGCGCTTTGAACAGGAGTATCCGGAGTGCCGGCTGCCCACCACCCCCGTCCCCACCACCCCACGGTGAGGAGCCCGCATGTCGATGATGCGGATAAGCCGGGGTATCGGTTGCGGTCTGTGTCGCGCCGGGGGAGCGAGGTGTCGCTGGCGAGTCGGTGTCTGGAGAATGAAGAGGGGCAGATGCATAGGCTGGGCCACTTCATTAAGAAGGAGGTTGTGCTGCGGCCGCAGACGCCGGATATCGAGAGGATTAGGAGAGTGGTGGAGGATATGGCGGGCGAGGAGATTCGGAGGAAGGTGCAGGAGGGGGGCGGGGTTGAGAAGGTGATGGAGAGGATTGGGGAGGGGGGCGTCGCGGAGTGGGAGGTGGTCGGGAGGGGGGGGAGTAGGGGGAGTAGTAAGGGGAGTAGTAGGCAGGGAAGTAGGCAAGGAAGCAGGCAGGGGAGTAGGGATACTAGTAGGACGAGGTGATGGGGCGATGGGTGGACTTACTGGACCTTTTTCATTGTGCTTTTCTGGTTGGGGTGTTCGTTGGAGCAATGCGCGCGACCTTTTTTTTTATTTGTTTTGTGATATATACCTTCATTTTTACCTTCTCCATAATAATTCTATTTTCCTTTTTTCTGGCGAGAAAATTGCAAATCAAGGTGGGGGCTGGCGAATTAGGGGTTTCTGGTTGCTGTTTTTCTGTCTTTTCTTTATTTGACCGTGTTTTTCTGGTTATGGGGGTGCATAAGTTCAAATGTTGGCTATCATATATACTCTTAGCTATACTAAAATAGTGGTTGAAATCTCGCTTTTGGAGGCTGGGTAGACTTATCTGAGTACATGTAGCCCCTTGTATGGGGTGTTACGGCTTCCTTTCTGATGACTCTGGGTGGAGTCATGGACTATCACTCGGTACTGCTCTGGTTGTCGATTCTAGCTATATAGCTCAGTACATGTATGTATAACACGCTTAATATGTGTCAAGTCGAATCTTAGCACTAGAATTTGTGAAAGTCTAAGTGGTGCGTGCGGCCGGCTGGTCGATATCTCTTGGGTGATGGTTTGTATGGTGGTTTTCAGGACCTACTATGAAGATACATGTATCTAGATGTGCTATGTATATGCTTAAATATTATCATCAGCTACTTGTACGTACGTATCCACCTGCCATGGAATCATCTCTTAGCGGGGAAAGAAGATGGGAGGGAGGGGGAGATTACTGACGGTGCTCTGTAGTAGGTTGGTGATGCTTTGGTTCTGCAGTTGTTGATGTATATACGATATATGTATATCGATCGATAGTTTGGTTTAGTTCAAGATGTAGGGAGCGTACACTTCGGAGTATGTACAATGCCGCGAGTATAGTAGGCTGCATGGCCTCCTACAACCACACGACCCGGCAGGAGGAAGGGATATATTGTAGGTTTCTGTATAGCGGAGATAATAGGTTTGATTGATTCGAATAAGGAAGATGAGTAGCCCTCTTCCCCTGTAAACAGCTAGATAGTGTGTTCTTGTCCTCTTCCTAGAGTCGCGTTGTCTAGCTACGTTGCTTACTTGTCCTCATCCGATCTCCACTAGTACATGTGTACATGTCTACTTCAACTAGCTCACATATATGATTCGTTCTTAATATCTATACAAACACACATGTATTCCCCTGACGTCCTCCATCTGTTCTGCTTAAACTATATAAATTATCTAGGAGGAGGAATTTGCCTCTTCCGTGCGTATAAGTAATTAGCTCAACTCGATCTTACGCCGTTACCTATCCTATGGCAGGCAAAGAAAATAACAAAGTCATTTGAGGGATCTAGGTTCCGGGTTTGACGCCATCATATTGAATCATTTCTGAACTTATAATCTTCCAAAACAAAGAGGGGGGCACCATGGTGGCAGAAAGCTCCTCAAGCTCCTCCTAAGCTTCTCAATATAAAGAATTTGGTAGCAAGATGATGGCTGGGGTGCCGACTACTATCGCAGTAACTTCTATGCGTATATGTATGACCATAACTTTTGGTTCTAACAAGTGGAGCCAGGCATGTGTGGCTATCTTAAGTCCCTTTATACAGAGAATTCATGGAGAATGCTACATATACACCACCAGTGTGTGAATTATTGGATCACACCAATATTTTGGAATATTATCATATAATTCCGGAAACCATCATGTTCTCAATCCCTGGGCCGCCGAGTTTCCTTTTGTTCCTTATCCATTATCTGGTTCTAATAAATGATTGAATGATTCCCCAGTCTTGTTCTGGGCGTCTTGCTGGCCTGACACCCCTGGTGTTCGTTAACGCTGCATTCTCCATTAGATTCGACACTAGAACAAAAGGCGTTAGAGAGGCTAGGGCGATGAGTGATTTATCATGATCCATATCTCCTTTATCTCTACCAGAAAAATGAACATGAAATGAAAAGAAAAGAAAGGAAAGTTTCTATTTACAACATAGACAGAAGAAGAGTTGATAGTTTGGTTTCCTCTTGGCTGTTTTTTTCTTAACACCTTTCGTTCCACTTTCTCCGCCTTCTCCCACCCCCGGTTTATTGCAGTCCTTCCCTTTGACCAAAAACAAAAACAATACGTAAGATTTCAAGGTGAGGTTTTCATAGAGAGCGGCCAAGTTGAAGGGGGAGGGAGGGTGAAAGTTGTAGAAGCCCAATTTATCGATCGGTAGATGTGAATAGTGCTAAGAAAAATACAAGTAGGTTTTCCGGTTTTTTTTTGTAGATTGGCGTTTATTTCCAAATTTCTTTCTGTCACGTGAGTTTCTCGCTCGCCTTTTTTGAAAGGAAGGTGGTGGTTTATTCGACACCAGTCGGGTTTTCGTGTCCTGAGCCTACGGAGGATCCGCCGAATGCAATCGAGCCGTCAAGGGCGATCATTTCTGCGAGAATGTCGAGGACGTGCTATAAGGAGGCGCTGATTAGTCAGGTGTCCTACGGAATCATCGGTGGTGAATATATACCTTGGGTACTGTCTTGTCGTAGATGCTGATAAGGTCCTTTGGTTGAGGGTACACCTTCAGGGCCTTGTAGAAGGACAGAGCTGCATCAAGGGCCTTGTCGGGTCCTAATGTTGGCAGATATATTAGTCCCGTAAGAGTAACGAATTTCTGCCAATCATATAATTCATCCGGTCATTCCAACCCCCAAAACCCAAACCCAAACCCAAACGTCCCCCAAAACAAACCCCCAAAACAGATTAATCCTAAGAGAAAGAGAAGAGAAAAACGAACCTTCTTGGCACAAAGCCTCTCCCGTGGCAACCTCGTTCATGAAAAAGGCCTCCTTCTCCTCAACATCTGTCGGGAAACCCACCAACTGCGCATCCCTGACTGAAGCAATGAGTGTCTGTCGCTGCTCAGCATGTGCGGCCTCGGCCTGAAGCTTCTGGGTCTTAGCATGGCGCTTCTTGTCGCGCTTCAAGGCCTTTCGGAATTCGGGGTCGTTGCGACGTTTGTAGTCAAAGTAGAATGCGTCTGGCCTGGGGTTAGTTACAGCCAACCAGCAGTGCGAAACTACTGCGGGGGTGCAATGAAGCAGAACAAAACGACCCAATCAATCAATCGTAGATGAGAGGTTCTATCTATCGCAGAGAAAAACAGTAAGGGAAACTTACAAGCTGTAATTGATGGCACAGAAACATATCAGCAAAACCGGAGAAAAACGGAATAAAGAACGAAATGTTTCGCTCTAGCCATAGATAGGTGGAACAGATGTAACTCACCACCTCCAAGCGCAAACAGCGTCGCCACGCCTGTCACTACCATCGTCGATGTCTGCATCTTTTCTATTATTATTTTCTTGAACTTATAAGTTCAGTCGTTTCGTGATGATAGTAGTATGTTTGGTGGGGCCGGTAATGGAGGGGGTTGTGAGCGGTGGGTTGGCGTTGCAAGGTGCGTCACCATAATCAGGAAATCTCAAGCGTTGCTGCACAAGGAAAAAAAAAAATCGGGCCAACTCGGTTTTCTGTTGCTTATGTCATCATTATTTATCACGTGATGCACGATAATAGCAAAAGAACAATTCCATGCCTTAAAATAGTTATAGGGTAGTGGTCTAAGAAGGCTTGGATTCAGAAAAGTGATTATATGTTTCAAACGCCTTGAATGTATGCTGAAGAAGCATCGAGTGACAATTGATGATGTTGGTTATCAGTATCCTGAACTCCCGACTCTACCTTCAGCTTCAAATACTCGCGTGCCTAGATTGAATTCCTATCCTATAACAACCTATAAGTCAGGATTTCTTCGTCCGTGTGAGTATATACACTCAGAAACCACCTGCTTCGTAATGGCCATCTAATTTCAGCCATAATCCAGTCACAGCCAGGAATCTAATACGTATGCCCCTCCATAACTTCGAGATAACCCCCCTGGCTGGTTTTTTGTCATAGGACTCAACTATTTTGAAGGAGAGGGTCGCTAGAAGCATAGGAATTATTAACTTATCAAAATCGCAAAACCCATAACAATCATGTAGTGTGAAGGAAATGCATATATGTGGTTCTAAACCCAATTGTTGATCTAAGTTTTATTCTGTTTAGAAACTACATGTATGGCTAAACCTCTAGGCACTGCAAGGATCCAACGGCTGGCTTCGGCTCAACGGTCGGTCTAGGGGCAACCAATTGCTTCATAAAAGATCACTCGATTGCTCCAACATCTTCTATCATATGCAACTGTTTTTGTAGCTTCTACCCGAAAAGTAGTCGAGAAGGAAAGAAAACAACCTTTATCTTTCAGAGATAATCGAACACAGCTAAAGGCCAGAAAAGAAAAGAAAAATACATCGGTATCATGTTACGCCTCGCCATGACAGAAAAAAGGAAAATATGGCGCTCCCAAAGTCAAAATGAATAGAGGGGAGAACTAAGTGGCTGAAAAGGAAAAGAAAAGAATAAAATTGGGATTTAGGATTATGTGTCTAGACTGGAGCGTGATGGAAAAGGAAGGATACACTTTCGCCGTTGTGGGTTCTCCTGCAAGCTTCCGCGAGCTAGATAGTTTATTAGCAAATCGTTATTTGTAATGGAGATCAAAGGTAACAAACAGTAGGTGCGATGTCGATGGTGTCCAACTTAGGGCACGACTTCTTCTTCTCCGCATGTGGTACAGTGTTCGTAACCACCACCTTGCTCAGCCTACTGGCGTTGATCTTTGCGCATGCACTTCCCGACAGAATTCCGTGCGTAACGATTGCGACAACCTCCTTCGCGCCGTTTGCAACCAGTACGTCCGCCGCTTTGACAAGAGTTCCACAGGTATCGGCCATATCGTCGACTAGAATGGCAATTTTCTTGTCAACATCACCAACTAGTGTCATTCGGCTGACTTCATTCGGCCTGGAACGCTCCTTGTGGATGAGCGCAAAATTCAGGTCGAGGCGGTCAGCAAGCGCTGTCGCACGTTTGGCACCACCGGCATCGGGGGAGACGATGACGGCATTCTTGTAGTCGAAGTTTTCACGGATGTAACGGAGAGTCGCAGGTTCCGCGTAGAGGCTGAGGAGGTTGATTAGTATTTGTGCTCTAGAACATGGTGAAAGATAGATTCATGGAAATTTGACAATGTAATTCCGCGCTTGTTATCGGGACGAGGAGGGTGTATGTAAACAACAAAGGAATATCACCCCTTCCATCGCTTTTGAAAACAAGGGGGGATCCCACTCACTTATCAACCGGAACATCAAAAAATCCTTGAATTTGACTTGCGTGCAAGTCCATTGTAATGACATGATCACAACCTGCCCTTTGTAGCATATTGGCCACAAGCTTCGCACTAATCGGCGCTCTTGACTTATCCTTCTTATCCTGTCTTGCATAGGGGAAATTGGGCATAACGGCTGTAATGCGACGGGCCGATGCGGTTTTACAAGCTTTGATTATGATGAGAAGCTCCATTAAACCGTCATTGAGTTCTTCACCAGGCTTTGTGGTCTGAATGATGAAGACATCTTCGTCGCGGACTGATTCGCGCATGACGACGGAGGTCTCCTGGTTGGAGTATTTGAAGACCGACATGTCGAGGAGATCAACCCCGAGTCTACAATGAGTCAGTGGGGCTACGGACGGAGAGAAGAAGATAAGAGGACCTATCGGCGACCATCTTCGCGAGTTCGGGATGAGAGTTTCCCGTGAGAAGTTTTATGGAGTTTGAAGTCATTCTTACGGTGGGATGTGTGTATGAGGATAAATACGAGGAGGATTAGCACAGAGCTTCAAAAGGAGCAGTTTATGGTGGAGTGTAGGTGTGGGGAGCGGAAGATTGTTGATCCAAAAAGTGATGACCGCGCGAGGGAAAAAAACTTAGGGTAAGGTAGTAGTTAGTGGGGTCAGCCTTATCGATACGAGTGGCTTGGCAATGAGCTGGTGGAAATGGGCGATTTCCGAAACTGAGGTGTTTTTGCGCTCAAAATATAAAGAGTAGCGGAATGAGGTGAGTCCAAGTAAATACAATTTTTTTAGGGATATTCTGTGTTTTGTAGCTCGTTTTCACATGTCCTGTGCTGTGTTATGGAGAGCCTACAACCTATCAGCCAGAGGCTCTAGGAAGGTACAGTACCGTAGCTACATGGAAGTACATGCACTCTGAGCATCGATACAAACAACAGCCCTCATGTATCCTCGATCGATCACTGATACAGAGAATAAGCTTATGAAAACGCAATTGAGTAGCATAAACGAATCCTGGTGTCAACTTACCGGTAGGATGAACCAAACAAACCCTTGGCACACAACCCTTATTTAGACCTATCGACCGGGTAACGCGCCGAACTGCCAGGGACCACAAAGTTAACGTCGCCTCAACTTAAAGACACCATATCACAATTACCCCATCTGTTCCATCAACTGTACCTGCAGCACCTCCAATCTCCTTCTGAAGCTCAGAATTTTCATTTACCTTCAATATGGTACCTCATCTTAACACCAACTTGACATTTCGATCACTGACTTGAACCGTCCTGACACAGCTATCTAATCTTCACGATGACATGATCGTGAGTTGTATAACTATCCTAGCCGTCGAGAAGCTGTACTGACACTCGCGCTCTAGCACGATTGTGCTCTGGACTACTACGGCAAGCGTTTAGCTGTATGTCGAGTCCTCGACAATGAAACCCCCCTCCATCGGGATACCTACTAACACCTCCTTAGACTTGCTCCTCCGACAAAACCATCAAGATATTCGAGATCACCGGCGATAATCACCGTCTGCTTGAGACTCTCCGCGGGTAATTGCCCTACTATCTCTAGAATCGCTTCTCTAAGCTTACTAACACGCGTCCTAAAAGTCACGAAGGTCCTGTCTGGCAAGTCTCCTGGGCGCATCCCAAGTTCGGCAACATTCTCGCTTCCGCATCTTACGATGGTAAAGTGATGATTTGGCAAGAGCGTCAAGGAGTTTGGCAGAAGATTTTTGAGCACGCCAACCACCACGCCTCCGGTAATTTCCCCAGCACTATCCCATCCCCCGCCCGCCCTTGCACTAGCTAATACCGAACAGTAAATTCCGTCCAGTGGGCCCCCCACGAAGCTGGTGCAGTCCTCGCATGCGCCTCATCTGACGGAAAGGTCTCTGTCCTCGAATTCAAAGACGATGCGTCATGGGATACCAAGCTCTTTAGTGCACATGTGATCGGCTGCAACGCTGTTTCTTGGGCACCAACCACGCTCCCGGGCAGTGTAGTACAATCCAACCCTGCTCCTACCGCCCAGCGTAGATTCGTCACTGGTGGGAGTGATAACCTTGTCAAGATCTGGAGTTACAAGTGAGTTCATCACTCGAAAAGTTTAAATTACCCCAGACTGACATAGAAAAGTCCCGATGTTGGAAATTATGTCGAAGAGTGTACTCTTGAGGGCCACACAGACTGGGTCCGCGATGTAGCGTGGGCTCCATCGATCTTGCAAAAGTCCTACATCGCTACCGCATCCCAAGACAAAACAGTCATCATCTGGACATCCGAGAACGGAAACACATGGACAAAGAAGGTTATTCCTTTTGAGACTGTGTTGTGGCGCGTCTCTTGGAGTTTGAGCGGAAACGTTCTAGCCGTCAGTGGCGGTGACAACAAGGTCACACTCTGGAAAGAAACCCTCAAGGGCGAGTGGGAAAAGGTTGAAAGTGTAGAGGAGTAAAACGTCAGCGGGCTATTAGATATATTGTGTGGGCGTTAATAATGCTTTTATTATTTATATATTTCTTTTTTTCTCCTTCACTCGGGGGTAGTGGTTCTCGGTAGTCGTGGGTAAGGAAAAAATAGTAAGAAGTTCTCGGGTTATTCCTTGCAAAATATTGCTAAATGTCAAGTTCGAGTGAGAGGTTGTGATACTGTAATTATGATTGTCATTTTCTTCATGTAATATCACTCGGTCGGGCTTCAGACTGTCCAGGTTATTTCGTCGTCCCAACTGACCTCAATGATAACTCTTTAGGCTCACAGAATTAGAGACACTGATAAAGCTATAAGGAGCACCTAGATAAAGGACAACATCTCATTAAGTGGCCACGCATCGGACTTACTGGTAACAAGTATATACTCCTGGATGCAGCACAATCGAGGGCAGGTGGTTATCAAAACTGGCCCGCCGGCCGTGCTTCTTGGGATATTTAGCTGTTTATCGACTTCAAATAGGAAACTAGGCTTACACAAATTATACGCCTGGACTTTGGGAGCGCTAGCGCTTAAAACGCACCTGAGGGGCCTTCACAAACTCTTTCACGGACCAAACTCCTGCACTATATAATACAAGGCGAACGGGACTCTCTTTTAGGCTCACATCTGCATATATATTGAGTACCTACTCGGTTTTCAAACCTAATACTCACGGAAGACCCACAAGACGTACCGGTCCTCCCCCTTAAAAGACGGACCTGATACCACACGGAGAGAACGTTAATTTTTCTAGGCCTGCATCGATCACAGCATGCGATAGGATAGAGCCTATCCGTTTCAAACCTGTTAGGCCCTCGGTATCACCCAGAACCCAACAGAGAAGAAACAGAAGAGAAAAACCCCTGCACCTTATAAAACCATCTTATTCGCTCCTGTCGAGCCCTCGGCGTCGCCCAGAGCCTAACAGGGGAGAAGAAAGATAAAATGCCATCCATAAACGGAGGGAGGGAGGATGAGGGGGAACTAACGCAAAAAAGCCCCCCCTCCCTCCTATTAAGGAGAGAAGGGGGGCAAGAAGAATTAACGCGAAAAAGTCCCATTAGGGAGAGAAGGAGGGCAAAAAAAATGGCAAAAAAAGGCATCCCTTCCCTCCTTCTCCCACCATGGGAGGGAAGGGAGGCAGCAAAAGATTCGAAAAGGTTTTCATTCCAGACCGGGCGGTCTGGAAGCCAAGAGAAAACCCAGGGCCACACGGGGGCAGGAGCAAAGCCACACGGGGGCACGAAGGGCTGTGGGGGGATCCCCAGGGGCCACGGGGGCCACGGGGGGCCCCATGATATATTTCCCTCCCAAGCGGGAGGGGAATATGAGGAAGCTGCTCTCCCCCTTCTATGAGAAGAGCAGCGAAGATGGTAGGGAACACGGGCCCCACGGTCTTGAAAAGCTTGGAGGGATTGCAGAACTTATAAAGCTCAGGGTGCTTCGTGCCAAGGATCTGATTTCGCTGATAATCGCTAGCGTTTAGGGTAACTTTCGACATTGGGTACATATACTTGGATATTTGGCCGTAGAATGAGAGACATCTGTTGAGACATATAGCTGGCTGGTTACTCGCCGACACTTACACGCAAGCTTGAATGCTTTTCTCGACATCAATATATGTGCTTCGGGCTGCAATCGACCAGTTAGAGAGTTCGTGTATACATGAATCTACTAATATATACATATATCTACGAACATTGAATTAACTTGAAATTGTCTATTGTGGTATCCATACAGAAGATCGCATGCGTGAATTTAGTATCGATCATGGTTCGTCACTCGATTGCCAAGAATCCTTGTATGCATGCTACCGCGAGACCAGAATTATTGTAAAAACCGGGGCTGACTCGGCCAATAAGACTCTTCTCATACTTCTACAATACGCTGTAGGAGATACCCACGCCAATCTGTAAGGACCACTTCACAGGTAGGCGACGCGCGTGTAATTACAGGTATTTTTAGGTCATCAAGTCGTTACCATCCAACGGATCCGGCCCTTAGCCCCTCTTAGTGTTGTAAATGTACAGTAAACAGGTATATATACGTCTTTCTAGAACGAAGGGCTGAACTATCCTCAAAACGAGCCTCGGGGAATTCAACTGGAAATTGCTCAGAACAGCAAGAAAGGTCTAAAGGACTTAGCTGCTTCCTATTTTTTAGATTCTTATCGCCGTGGGCGAGTACTCTATGTTGAGTACTGTTTCGAGTCAAAAATGAGCTTAGAGTCTGACCAACCCTTCTTCTGCTATGGCTGTTGGGATATTTGATGAGAAGAACAGGACGGTCGAGGCTATATATTCTTGTTAGAAACTGGCCAATGATAAGAGTTTCGAGAAGATTAAGAGTCGACAGCTCTAGAATATTCCTCTAGGTAGATGATATGGTGGTGAACAAAATAAAATATTGGGCTACATATTGCCGCATAGCGCGACTCAAACCTACGTTGCAATACCGGTACTCGACTCTTCACCGGCGATATACATATACAAGTTATAGATAAGTGGAGTGGTATACTACAATATGTATGACTACATGTAGTATGCCTTTGTAGAACACGTTCCCGCTCTGGGACCTCCCCATAATGTATTGCTAAGCTAGCGTAAACCGGGAGTCTAGATGGAGCTAACACTACCAAAGAAATAATTGTGAGCGTGGGTTGAATGGTCCAGCGGTTCGAGTCTCTGACTCCGAACTTAGCTGCGAGCGTTTAACCCCTCTGGGCTCGTAGAAAAGACGTAGCAATCGAAGCAATGTTGTGAACTTTTCCGCACCGAACAAATTTATATAATTGGGCTTTGTGCTACTGTATATGCAAAATTAACACAGACGCCAAATGTTCTTCTGATGATATCAATTAACTAAGAAGCCAGTACTGCAGATGTCTGCGTAAGTGTGAGCTCTGCTGAATCCTTGAGCCGTGGTTCTAGCCGTGGTTCTAGCCGTGTACAGACATAAGAGTCTAATTAACTCTTCCCTTCTGCAGCTGCTGTGCGGGTCGTGCTGCGCTGGTCTTTATCACGGAGCTATGGCTGTAATGAACCTCGCGATCGTCCATACGTCCATACGGAGTGAACCCAGCCCGGGGAGAGAGGGGTGTGGTGTGTTCTAAAAATTAGGGGTCGAGAACTTCTGGACTGGAGGGAATACAGTGGAAGGTCGTTTTGGTCTGTCGATGTGTGTTTATGGGGACAGCTAGACAAGCTGGTGAGTATAGTACCGTTAAACACCTTAACATTCTGAATTCAGAGCGGCTACTAAGCTCCTATCTTAATACCAGAGATGGGTTCCGGACCTTGGGAATAAAGGAGAAGTAGCCAATTAACGTAGCGATATGTATAGGATCCGAGCTACTTCGTCACACGTGCATGTGCCCGATAGTACAAAGGAATAGTTGTCATTTAATTAGGACACTATAGCTAGCATATTTAGGAGAGAAGCGAGAACAACCTTCTCCCCCTCTCCATCATCCACTCAATCATAAAGAATAGGAGTCTTCATCTATCAACCTCACGTATTATTTCATCAGGTCACTTGGGATATTTCCCTTTGGATTCTAAACGAGATCACACGCACTGGAAAACATCAATTTTAATAGGAATATGCTAAATACTGGAAGTGTCATTATTATTATTCTATACATCTTTCCGGAAATTACAATACATCATACAAGTACAAATACAAGTACAAATACAACTACAAACGCAATTACAAAACGACATATCTATCATACACCAAAATCCAAGTCTATCATATCACACCCAAGGAAACACCAACCCTCAACCACAACGCACCACCACCACTTAAGCCATAATGCTCGCCCCCCTCTCCACCAACAACTTCACCGCCTCCGCCCCACCTTTAAACCTCGTCGCCAAATGCAGCGGTGTCCTCCCCGCTTTATCTCTCACCGCCATATCCGCGCCATGCGCCAACAACAACCCCACACATCCCTTACTCCCGTCTGCCGCCACATGCAGCGGCGTCCTGCCCTCACTATCCTTCGCATTCGGGTCCGCTCCTCTCCTCAACAATGCCTCTGCCACCTCCTTCGAGTACCTCACCGCCGCATGCAACGGCGTGCCTCCCTCACCATCCCGCGCGCCAATATCCGCCCCACAATCCACCAGCAGTTCCACCACCCTCGTCCCAAACCACGGTCCTAAGTGCAGCGACGTCCGACCCTGGTGATCGCGCATATCCACGTCAGCGCCGCGGTCGATTAGGAAGCGGATCATATGTCCGCCGCCGCGCGCGGCGGCCCAGTGTAGCGCAGACCAGTTTGTTCCGTTTCGGTCTTGAAGCGTGAGGTTGACGCCCTGGGCGACGACGTAACGCAGAACGGTGTCGGCGCAGGGGGACGGCGACTTGTGGAGTTCGCGGAACGCGCCTTTGGTGGTTGGGGCGGGGACGACGATGTGTGAGCCTTGCGTGAGCAGGAGGTGTGAGAGGGGGGCATTGGCATTGGCGGTAGCCCAAAAGAGAGCGGTCATGGAGTGTTTGGGCTGCAAGGCGTGTTCATTGAGGAGAGGAGTGAGGAGGATGGCCAAGCGGCGGGATGTCTGTAGGAAAGCATTGACATCGTGGGCGTCGGTGAGGTATTCGGCGATAGGGAGGAGGAGCTCGTTAGGAAGGGCTAGGAGGGACATTGTGTGAGCGCTTGGGGTTCAGTTGTTTAGGTGTTTTGCTCAGGTATTCAGTATTCAGTATTCAGAATTCAGGCGTTCAGGTGTTCAGGATATTAGGTCTTTCAGCACAATGGCAAGCCAACAAGTTTCTACAGCCACGAGAGAGTAAGGGGGTAGAGGTAGGTATATATAGGTCCCCATAAGCACACCAAGAAACAAGACAGAGAAGGGGGATCATCCTCTACCTTTACCTTCCCCCTTCTGTGTTTACTGTTTTCGGGAGGCCCACAAGGGGGTCATGCTGAGTAGAGTAAAGCAATAGCAATCCCGGACCGGGTAGGTACATTGCATACCAAGATGTGTTAGCCAGTCTGTGCGCTTCTAGAATGCTGCTACATCCACACCGAAACACCCGGCCGGCGGACCGTTGAGTTGGGGGAGGTTGGGGGGGTTGGCTTGGGTTGGCTTGGGAGGGTGGTTTGCCAGGGTATTAATTAGTTGTGAATATCTGTTCTCTTAGCCAGAGACAGACAAGGCAAAAAACAGGCTGCTTACTTATTCCCCCCTCTAGTGATGTAGTAAGGTATGGATGTTTTGTGTAATATTCCTGTTACTCCGGGTTAGCTTCGTAATTGTTGGTTGGACAGAGCTCTTTACCCACCCCTGAGCTGACGTTGGGGGCCCGCTAGCCGGTTGGCAGTTGCGGAGAAATGTTTTTCCGGATTGGTTGTTGTGAGGAAGGGATGGCTTGTACGCGGGGTGTGTACTGGCCGTACTGGGCTGGCGGCTATTATTTGGACGACGGCGTTTTTTTCTTTCTAGGTACGTACGCAGACTCTCCACGCAGCTTAGCTATAGAGATTCTATGTAGGTACATGTACATGTAGGTATATACGCACATCAATGGGTAATATTATGGGATTGAATAACGACCTGGCCAGCCCGCAACTCTGGATCCATTATGCATAGGCACAGTTATGTAGAGTCAATTGCCTACATACTCTGCGTATAGTATCGGAGGCTTGAAATTGAGTCAATTAAGGTTGCTGCAAAGGTTTCACTATTACCTGAGCGCGGTGGTGGGGCCTTGATACTAGATGTGACATTCCACATGGTCCTTACAGCAGGTAGTAAAATATCTTTTTACCAATCACGGCTCTGGCAGTCCTTAAAAATGCGCCATTGAGAAACTCGAACGTCCCAAAGACACAGTACTTAGGCGCCAGAAAACCTCAAGCAGCAGCACCCAATCATTACCAGTAGCACCACAGTATTCCCCAAACCCATAGCCCCCAAAGCTCAATCGCAGCATACTTTATACTAACACAAAAACCCCAGGAACAAGTACATCACCGCCGCCGCCTACCCATCCCCGTTTTTTGTCCAATTTTCACCCAATTAGCACATCTATCATCGGTCGCATGGCCCAATGGCAAGGCGCTTGACTACGATCCTCATATCCGAAATCAAGAGATTCCAGGTTCGACCCCTGGTGCGATCAATCCACTCTCTCTCTTCACTTCCTTGCGTAGTTCTCCACTGCGGGTTGTGGAAACATTTTTTTCTCCGTGCCGCTAGGTCTTGGTTGTGGTGGGGTTGAGGTTCCTTAGTGCTGGTACTAATAGAGTTTTTTTTCTTAGCGCGAGCTAGCAACGATTGTGGGGAACAAACACCCCCGCGCGGGATGGGCGGATGGGCGAGTGAGAGTGTGTGATTCAGTTCAGATGTTGTGGATATATATTGTCAACCGTCTACATACGTCTGTCTACTTTTACACAGAAAGCCTACCACCGTTCTCGTTCGTTCGTTCGTTCGGTCCATATATACCGTATCATAACCCCCGCGTCCCCGCAAATATATAAAAAAAAAAGAAGCATCCAAACTACCCAAAGCAAGAAAGAACTCAAGAAAAAATAAACCCCCAGAATGCAAAGCAAGCCCCAACATAATAAGCCAACCAAACCAAACCAAAACTGCGGCAGAAAGAGAAAAAGTACGAAAGGAAAGAAAAAGAAAGAGGAAAAGAGGTATCCATCTAGTAAAAGTACCAATTGAAGGTAGGAGAGTAGAAAAGGAAAAATAAATGGTTTAAAACGGGAATAATAATGACACACACACACACATAAAAAAAAAGGGAAAAGGAAAAAAAAAAAACGGCAATGACGGAAGGGAAAAACTCCAGAAGAGAAGGGTACAGTTTATTTCTAGGGCGTACGGAATGGAAGAAAAGAGAATGAAAGGAAATGAAAGGAAATGAAAGAGCTTAGAGCAAGGCAAAAAAGAAAAGGAGACCGGGAAGAGCAGTGGAAAAGCTGGAATTTAGAGGGAGGGCGGAGCTGGAGCTCTAGTTGATCCCGAGGTATAGTTTGCAGCGCTCATAGACATAGAACGACGTTCTAGCACCACCAGTCAGTATATATACGGTCAATAGCGGGAAACAGGGAAATTGGGGGTACTCACGCAACCATCGGTATAACCTTCACATACCCAATCCCCAACCCCACAAAAAAGCCTCTAAACCCACCCACGCTCCAAATCCTCCTCGCCGTCTCCCCAATCCCCACGCCAATCCCCTCTCCCACCGCCCCACTAACCTGCATCCGCCTCCTTATAACCTCCAACGGATAACTCGCCGTCTGCGCCACCAGCCCCGCAGCCCCACCACTCACCAGCTCCGCCCACGCCTTCAGCGTCGGCCGCCTACCCCCATGCCTCGCATCCTCATCCATCTCCGCCACCGTCGCCCACCTCGCTGCCGGCCCCCGCCGCAGCCAGTCTCCCGCAACATCATGCGTCAGGAAAGATATCCCCGCATACGGCAGCATCCCCAACAGCGTCGGCGAGAAGCCACGATAAAAGTTCGTCAGCCCCCCGCCAAACACCGACGGCGCCGCCGTCGGCTCGCGATACAGCCTGCGACAGATGCCCCACAGCCCTGTGCGCGCCGTGGTGCGCGTCTCGAATGCGAGCCGCACGCGGATGACCTCGAGCGGGTAGGTGAAGAAGACGCTTGTGACGCCGGCGGCGCTACCGGAGAGGAGGCGGCGCAGCGCGGTTTCTTGCTCCTTGGTGGGGATGAGGACGGAGCGGATCTGCTCGTAGGCGACGAACTTGATGGCGGCGTAGGGGAAGATGCGGAGGAGGGTGGCGGAGTGGCCGCGGAAGAGGCCGAGCGCGCCTTCGCGGTGGGTGATGTCCTGCATGGCGGAGATGGCGCCGAGCCAGGAGGTGCTGTATTTGGCGTAGGCGGGGGACGAGGCTTGGAAGAGGATTTTGACGCGGTCGAGGGGTGCGATTAGGGTTTTGGCCTAGGGGGAGTTAGTTGGTGGTGGGTTGGGGGGGGGGGGGGTTGTGGAGGTGGGGAGTGGGGACTGACTGCACAGCCGGCGACGCCCCCGGCGAGCCCGGACCGCAGGATGTAGTCGAGACTGCGCTTGTCATGTGTGCGAGGGAGGAGCGTTGGTGTGGGCTTTGGTATGGGGGTTATGGGGTCGTGGTGGACTGCTGCTGTGGCCTCGCCATGGCTGTTGCGGAAGGAGACGGCCTCGGGCATGAGCTAACTGGTGTGTGTGTGTATGTGTATCCCGAGTAATATTCTGTATCCTTAGGGGGGTGTATGGGTGTATATCTCTTTTTCCCAGAGCTGAATTAGATAGAACGATAGATAGACAGAGTCTGTAGAGGTTCAGGTCAGTGAGGTGAAGGTAAAAGAAGGTATGTAGAGTAGAGGAGAGAGAAGAACAGGAAGAGAGTACTTTACTGCCGGGGGTGCCACCGTCAGTGCGGCGTCATTCATTCCTTCCGCTTAGACCTCGGCTCTTTCCGGGGGGACCCTTTCAGCCACGGGAGCCAGCCACAGCTGCTGGGTATTTGTTCATCCGTCGCTCTCTCTCACTCCGATCACTGGTGGCCATTCTTCTGTGCTCTGTCTCTTTGAAGAAGAAGAACATTTGGATTGCATCGACACTGCGTCGTGGGATAGCTCATGGCAATCAATCCATTGACCCGAGAGATGAAAATCTCTGTTGACATGTCTCACATCTATCTAATATCTCTCTTCTGACTGACTGACTTGACAAGCTTTGAGATTCCCTCGATGTCTCACCCGCCCACATGACCCTGCAGAACGGTGCGGCTATAAACGGCTATGGTACGGTCCTACGGAGGCAGGGATCAGATCCTGTTTTCCGCCTGGGGAACGTTTTCTATTGGCGCCGGCTACAGACACACGTTGGGAGTGCTGTAACTAGCACTTAGTTGAGCTCCGGTACTAATAAGTAGCTATCACTGCTGTTGATGGCTAGAGCTGGATGTCGAGGCAGGCGGGAGGTAAATGATTTAATATCACCTTTTTCATAGGTCGACTGGATTATTATTTAACACGACAAATCTCATCTATCCTACATACATACCAGAAGCACAATTCCTGTACCCTTGTCTGACGTGGTATCGAGTGCTGCCCCGGTCCGATATCCGAATAACCTTTAGATTTTCTATTTCCATGATTACACTTTCTTCCCGGAATGAGAGCTCGGCGCAATTGGTGTTGCCTGCCTTTCATAGAAGGTCGGTAGACAAAGAGCTATGTACATGCGGAAACCGGCATGAAAGCAAAGCGAATGCGGACTCATGACGGCAACATACCGCTCCCGCCCCTCACACAAGACACCAATACAGAAGACCCCCGGCCGAGCGAGCAAGAACTATTAGTTAGTCTCGGGGTCTCAGTATATCCCCAAAAGGGGATTATTTAACATCTACATATCTACACGCACGCATCTCCCAAGTCAGCGAAATGATTAAATAGACAGGAATCCTACACAAGGCTTATTTACAGATCCACATTACATTGACTATGGAGCAGGGGTCGAAAAACAACCACACCTGTCGTACGATAATCACAACCCCGCCTCCCCGCATAAGGGCACAGAATAGAGTAGGGTTTGCACTGCGTAATCCCGGGCGCCAGCAAAAGCTTAAAATCCCGAGAACGACCCCTCATCCTAGACGAGTGGTAGACTGAAGAATGCCGCTCAAGAATTAATTCAGTATCTATCTACGTATAGATACTATTCTTCTTCTGGTCTCGCAACTAGTCGAGATATCCTGCTTCTCTATGGTATCTCGATATTGGGTTTTTTTAATCAGAAGGAAGGATGCGGCCGGACGAGTCATTGCCAGTCAGTCCCGGAGCTGCTTCGGGCACATCCTATATAAGGTTGGCGTAGGTTAATACTTGATAGGATTTACATCCTCACTTGCTCATAATGGAGGTAGATAGGGTTCTGGGCCCCTCTATATCTTTGCTTCATCTTACCCTCACTCAGCTCACGCTAGCTCAGTAGGGACCTAGCTAGAGGCCGAAGCATACACCTAAAGTAATCAGCGGGTGAGGGGGTAAGAACGGTCTCCACCACAGAATGCGTTTTGCACAAATTGTAACACTCATATACATGGCTGACGCTTGCTTTGGGCTGTGTGATGTTTGCTGCTGCTACGTACACACACTCGAGGGCGAGCTAGCTGCTATGGTAGTGCTCGAGAGGATAGAGCTAGCTGGAGATATTGCTTATCCAATGTCAAGGGGACGTAGGTTTGTTTGGCAGTATGTATACTCTACTAGCAGGTGGAGTACCTGCGAGAAACTAGGCCGGTTCCCGGATGCTAGGCTTGCTGGAAATATGAGGAAATGGCTTGGGACAGCTTTTGCGCTAGAACATCAATTGGAGGACACAAAGTGAAGGGGGTGCCGCACCGGGCCAAGTGGATGGCGAGGGACGGAGGGGGTGACTGGCACTAGATGCTTTGAAAGACTGTAGCATGAGGAATTCTGGTCTAATTTTTATATAAAGAACACAAGAGAGCCATGGGGGCTTGTGCCTCTAACTAGGCACTAACTAAAGCTAGCCATTCTGGTGTGTCGTGGGGAATGCTTTATGGTTGTTCTTTGTGGTGAGTCTGTCGAGCATAATGGGTTGCTTTGTTTGAGAAGTGATGGCTCGTAGATGAGGCCGATATTAGGGCCTCAATTGTTTACTACTCACGCCAGCTAGGAAGTGTATGTGCTGTTTAGTGGCTTTGTAGAGCTGTCCATACGTCAAAGCTCAAACTACTAAGCAGCTTCGAACGAAACATTTGTGGATGCCTAAAGCCTAAAGGAATACCGTTGGTTGTAATTCAGGCTCAGGAAGAAATACGCAGAGATTACGATAAGCTTATAATTAAGGGGACCAGAGAGAGGGAAAGCTGTTATTATCAGCTACAGCCGTAGCTCTGTAAGCTGGTACTGTTATCTCCCTGTTCATATTATAGTCAACGAGACCGCACGTATTGAGGGGGGTGGGGTGCTTCGAGGTCCCTCTGCCTCTTGAGGTGTATTTCTTGCTCTACTCGAGCGAGGAGACTCGATACTTGTAGCTCGAGGTGCTCGAAGCATTCGAGGCAAATATGGACTGTTTATATAGGATACATAGTCTGGTCTGGAATGATAGGATATAAACCCCTCTTGGTGCCTCAAAGCTTGCTCGTCGTAAATACGCATCCAAGCGCATATCAATTAATATAATAGCTGTCTCTAGAGGACAACTGTAGGTGACTACGTCGTTTAGCTAAGTCAGTTCGTCGTTTAAACTGTCAAGAAGTTGCAGATAAGATAATTGAGCTCAGTTTAACACCAGAATTTTCCACTGTTCAGCTACTAGTAAATGACTATTTAGCCAGCAGCCAGCTATAAAAGCACCACCACGCCGGGTGGCCTTCCTCTTCCTCAACACGAACATCTCAACACCACCAACACCTCCACAATAATTATCACCAAATGTCTTCAGCATCATCCCCTTCTTCCTCATTTACATCAAGTTCATCATATTAGATCAGTGCCCCATCTATTCCCCTCCGTTCCCCAACTGCTCCCATCTGTTCCTACCTTTTCCCCTCTGCTCCCCCTCCTGTTCCTCTACGTTCCCCACCTGTTCCCCTATGTTCTCCCCTTTTGCTAACGTAGTTCAGTGCTTGGGTCACCATCACCATCACCAGTGTCAAGGTAAGTCATATCCAGCCCATTGATTAGTATAGCCATTACTAATAGGCAGCGGGGCAGCAGCAGCAGGGCAGCAGCAGTAGCATTAGAATTAATGAAATAAATTGAGTTTTTTTGTTGAATTCATTAATTAAATAAATTTATGTATCTCTAAACAACTAGTCATTTATTAACTGACCTCATACACTCGACATTGTCATTTAGTATAAGTGACAAAGGTGGTTTAGTCTAATTGAGTTGGTCACTTATAGTAAATGAGGAAGTCACTTATAGTAAATGAGGAAGTCACTTATAGTAAATGAGGAAGTCACTTATAGTAAATGACTCTACTAAACGACATAGTCATTGATAGTTTGCTACTAGAGTGTTGCCACAGGATTTAGGAGAATACATTAACCATGGGGACGTTTAGAATTGTGGCGTGTAATAATAGTTCTAGGCAGTTATGGCCTTGAGTCGGAAAATACATATAGTATCATACGTTTTATAAAGCTCAAACTTATAAGGGCCCGTTTGGGTGCAAGTCAAAACCGAGTTACAAGAGGAGGATTTGTATGGCAACCACATAACTCCATTTCATTTTCTTCAAAACTCCATTTTGGCAAAAAGGTTTGTGTTCGGGTAGCTAGTTTTGTAACTCCGTTAAGGTGTTGAAACGGAGTTTTTGAAAAGTAGGGGTACCTACTTTTCAGCTCCATTTCGCTCTTGCACTCATTGCAACCAAAAAAAAAAAAAAAAAAAAACCAACATTAACAACCATTAACAATCAGGTGTTTGGCAACCCAAATAAATCCAAAGTCCATTTTGAAAAAGCTCCGTTTATCCTCTCCTAACGGAGCAGCCACAAAACGGAGTTTCGACACCTCGATAATAGCCAAACGGGCCCTAAGTTTTCAATCTCATTATACCTCAACCATATATTTAGCACTGCAAATCATGATTGATAATAATACAACACAACACACCCTATCACCAGAAACCTACATAACAAATCCTCTACTAGAAACCAACCTAGGGATCGTTACTAAAATCTTCGTTCTCAGCTACATACATATATACGCGGCTTAAAGAGACCCCGGTTTATCCAGCCTCTCACTATAATATGTACTCGGACTCGTAGGAGCCATGGGCTCAACCCCCTTCTCCTTCCGCTCCGTGTAGCTTTGTACAGCTTCCCGGCAGTCGAGCATCATTTTCTATATAGATAGAGGAATAAGCAACTGAAGGTAACGGTGGTGGGGTGATGGGAGCTTACCTTGAATAGCCATAGGGACTCTAGAAGCTGAAAGGCTTGGGGGAGGGTTTTGACGCTGGTAGGGACTTTCCTCAGGGCGCCCTCCTGTTTGATGAACACGTGGCCCACGCAGGTGATGCGGACAGTCATCGTTTCCAGACCTACAGAATAAGGGAAGTGTGTAAGCCATCCGTCGCACTCACTTAAATTGAAAACCGAGGGGATGGTGGAGTGTAGAGGGTGGGTCTCACCAGCCTGTATCAATCCTGGGAATTGTAACTTTTTCAACGTCTCCTTGTCATAGTCAACATACTCCCTAACATAACGCATCAACGCACAGAGCCCTCTCAGCATCTTCAAATTGTCCTTCTTCCACTTCAGAGAATCTGGGCCATCATTCTTGCGCGCCACCTCAATGAGGCCCCACTCATCTGGGGCTCGGAGCCGGGAAGAGGTGGTGGCACGGGAGCGCATGTGGTTGCAAATGACGGCGTCGAAATGCGGGTCAGTGCCTTGGAGTATGTCGGGGTGGGATTTAAACGCCATTAATGACGAATCACGGCTGGGGTGGGGGGGGTGGTCAGCACAGAAACGATAACCCACGCAGAGAAAAAACGACATACCGTCGGGCTACGAGAACGTCCACAAGGAGGAGATCAACAAGGTTGGACCAGAGTATACACTCCAGAGATCCTTCCAGTAGCTCATCAGACAAGAGCAAGTCGTTGGTTTCGCAGATTAAGGTGATCCTGCAAAGAGTTCTGTGAATAATATGATAAAATAGATGTGATTTTGTAAGGAAAAAAGAAGAAAGAAGAAAAGAAAACCGTACAGGTGACGCATAGCATTCTGGACCCAGACCGAATCAAAGTATTTATAATCTAGGTGTTTCGTACACTCGCGATACTCCTCGTCCGTAGAAGACTGTTGGTAGTCAGGGTCTATACCAAGCAGTGGGTAGCATGTATATGTGGCCGAGAAAACTTACACTACTAAATCTAGAGATTGCATAGATCACTGCCGGATCAACCGCCGGCATTGGCATTATCATATCTTTAATCCACTTCAACAGCTTGGGAAACCACTCCACTACAATTGGATCATCAGGATTAATCACCCACAGGAACAGCTGACTCATTTCCCTGAAGCCGTCGACGACTTTCCCCATAACGGTATTGTAGACCTCCGTCTCGAGGTACTTCCCTGGGCTAATGAGGGTTTTGGTTTTCATCTTCTTATAAGTGCTCTTGAAGTTGTCCAGGAGAAGCTGGAAATCAATGTCGCCCTTGAGGACTACTATGGCCGCACCGAGTTCTTCTTCGCCCGCCGCTGGGGCCACAGCTTGTAGCCCTTCAGGTATATCGCCGCTACTCATAGTAGCAGCGACAGGAGCAGAAGAAGAAGCACCTTCACCAGTATTGTAGACCTATCGGAAGCGCAGAAAAGACACGACTCCGTCAGAAAAAGAACAAGGCACAACTACTAACAAAGATTTATGGGAAATAATTAAGTTAATATTTACACTATTGACAGGGCCAGCAAACAGCGTCCCCACGGAGCCGATATGGAAAGAATTAATATTCTTTGCCTTCTTCTTCTTGGCTTCTTCTTTTTCTAGCCACTGGGAGAGATACTTTCGGTCCTAATGATTTTTACCAGGCATCACACAAACTACAGGTCAGCAACGACTACACGATTTTTGTTCCCTAATCCCACAGGCTACAGCAGACGAGCAAACTGGTCATCCGTGAGCCTGTAGGACCAAGCAGACGAGCGAACTGGTCGTTCTGCAAGACAAAGCAACAGACAAGCGAACTGGTCATCTGTTGCGCCACGCAGACAAGCGAACTGGTTATCTGCGGGCTCTAGGGATCATCGCAAGCAAAGCGAAACAGACAAGCGAACAGGTCATCTGTATTCACTTCACTTGCGACGATAGGTGGAGTACGAAGGCATGAGGGGGGTTCATTCTTGATATGTGGTGATGTGATGGTGGTTGTGGTGACGGATGGAAGGAGGCTGGAATGAGGTGATGTTGAAAGGGATGTCTTGGCGCAATTCCTAGCGCGAATCCTAGGGTTAGGGTTTAACTTACCGCTGTTTTCTTATTCTTCCACCGCCCATGATGAACGTTGGCTTGATCGATCTCGTCTTGAGTGCAGCAGCCATCTTCACAGTTTGCTATAGCTCTAAGTGACCTATGCCACCCGTCGGAGATCTGTCGGGGGGTCTTCTCTGAATGCTCGACTTGGAACTTCACGTAGTCCTCGACGCTCCAGCCGCCAGGGATCGTCTCTTTGAAGTATAAGGGGTTTCCTGAGTGAGGCATGAGGCGAGGTTATTGAGGAACGAGTGTGGTGTGTGTGCGATGTGAGAAGAGAATGTGATGGCAGAGAGTAGGACGCGTTGAGTACTGGGAGCGACACGCGTGACTCTCGGGGCTTGGCGCAAAGGATCTGATAAGATTCTCTTATCTTTGGCCTGGAGATCGTGACGGAATGTGCCGATGTGTATATGTGGTCATGACAACTCGACAATGAATTTCCAGTAACCCCTTCGTCCTGCTCGATTCGATCAATTGGACGCGAGCCGATTGGGAGTAAAACCAGTGATGAGAAGTACGTAGGGCAAACATCTTACAGTAAAATTTCAGATCAATTATATGTTCATACTTACCGAAGCCGAAAAACATCCTGGCACTTATAATTATATAACCACTACAGACCCAACCAACAATGAGGGTAGTCCCATTTCTATTGCTCAGGTAAGTTATATCATAAGGCAAGTGCTTATGTTTCCCTATTTTCATAAATCAAAGCCGAAAGCTCACCTGAAGGCTTGCACACGATGCTCTGGAGATGCGATTGACCCTCGCTAGGGCTTTATAAGGCCGGCGCCAGGGCCGCAAACTCGTACTCTTGTAACCATAGGTGGCAGAATCATACGGGGAAGAACTGAGCCAGTAGTTCTGCAGCGCAGTAATGGTATACTGTCATGTCCTGCAAATGGTGCTATAATCTGAAAGTTCCCCAGATCAGTTTACTCTTATTGAAGAAACCAAGAGACTTTTAGAAAGAAAAAGAATAGATCAAAGAGAGTGCCATCGCAAGGATATGGTAGGATATAGTAGATAGTGGCAAGGATCTAACGAACCAAAGGATGCCCCATACCCCTCATCCATCCACATCTCGATGACCCATCCCTGATCCAGATTTTCGCTCCATATAGAAACCCAGATACAAAGAAAGCAAAATTAAAAGCAAAGACTCCACCCAACACCACATACCTGCTATTTCTCCAAGCCTAAAATTACATGTATCTTTTGAAGATCACCTACTGTCCTTTCCCTTTACCTTCGCCCTCAGCAAGCTCCCTGATGAAGATCTTTACGCTCTCGGGCGGGAATTCTCCACCGTCGTTTCCGTCCTCGAAGCCACTCGAGCTGCCAATGGCAAGATACTTGCCGTTTGGACTGAATGACAATCCGGCGATGGATGCCGGGTATTTTTGGTATTGCCTCAACCGGCGCTTCGCCATTCCGTCCCACAGGGACACGATACCGTCTCCGCCACCAGAAGCAAATGTACCATAGCTATTTTAAAGTTAGTAATCGGGTATGTAGCACTAAACGGGGGAGAAGGCACAAACTTCGGGTGAAATGCCAACGCGTTAACTGGATATACGACGTCGACGCCGCCTTCCACAGCGCGGTGACATTTGAACGCGTATTTCCTCTTTTGACTCTCCTCGCTGGCGTCGAAGAATTCGACAGCTATACGGCCCTCGATACTGCTGCTTGCATATCCTTGCCCGTTGGGCATGCATCTGACAGTACGGGTTTGGAACTTGAGGGAAGACTCGCGGCGCTGCCAGGGTTCTGACATGTTACGAACATCGTAAAGATAGACGCTACGGGAGGCCATGGCCACGACGAGGGTATGGTTGATGGTCGATGTGCTGAAGATCTTATGGGGTTGGTGATGCTTTGAAGTTTCCGTGGAAGCACGAGGGTCAAATAACCGGATTGTATGGTCCCAAGAGCCAGATATGAGGGATTCTAAAGCCTGTTAGCGAGATTGGATATATGAGAGATAAAGGTAGAGGCTGACTGATTTCTTGATTGTAGCAGACAGATTTTACGCCGTCTTCGTGCGACCCAAGGGTGGTTTCTGCGCCGGTCTCGGGGTCCCATCTGTATGTATAGATTAGAGCCCATTACCTCTCCAAAATTCGATATTCATGTTAAGGACGTACTGTTTAACAAGCCAATCTAACCCCCCGCTAAAGAGAACCCCGTCGTTCTCGCCGAAACAGCAGTCCAGCACGGGCGCTGCGTGGGATAATGCAGTCAGTTTGGAGCCATTCAGGCCAGCATTTGTGTCGTAAAGATGGACATACTTGTCCCAAGAGGAGGCGAGGAGACGCGTAGGACTTGTGGGCGAAAAGGTGAGGGCCGAGATTGCGTCCTCTGGAGGGCTGGAGAGCTCGAATTGGGATGTTGCTTATGAGTAAGACTGTTAGCATCCGAGATTTGAGAGTAGAGGGTCTTAGAGCTGTGGCGATATTGAATAAAACCCAAAATAATTACCTTGTGCCATTGTGAATTGAAAATGGTGCTATGTCGTGTTCTGTATCCGGCGCGAACCCTACGAGGCTTTGAAGAAGTTCAAAAGCTTGACGTTCTTTATTGACATCAGATAAAAGAGCTTGGCGTCGCTTAATTTGGGCGGCAGTTGGTGTTGATTAGTTACCCTACCTGGAGGTATGACGGGACCGATCTCCACTGGGCATGGCTGCAGCTGCAACGTCGCTGAAGCGAGGAAAAGGGGACAGAAAGGGAAACAGAGTGGGAGGAATTGGTACTCTACTGTAGGTACCAGTACATACTGGACTGCATTCCCGCACCTTGATCGTGGAGATATACTACATGTATTCCTTGCCTGTATTCGACTGTGGCTTTTTTTTCTTCGTCTGCGCACGCTCTCCGACGCTCATCATCGTCCTCCCTCTTTGCCAATTCTATGTACATCTATCTTTGCCCATTATCGTCAAGTTTATCGTAACTTAGAAGCAAATAAACAATATCGTACAAATTTCCTCCTACAAAAGCTTATCGCTTTGCAGGCACAGAAATCTAGAAAATCACTTGCCCCACCCTTGCTAGTTTGGCCAACCAATCACTCTATCAAGATCCAAGTGGGCGTTGTTGTTGGCACGCATCCAGAGAGCACAGACTACTGCTGCTACACCGAGACAGACAGACGGTCCTGGGAGACACCCACGCAAAAAGGAAAGAAACATCAAGCTCACACTTATTTTTTTCACAACTTCGTCCGCAATCCAACAAACACTCTCCTTTCCCTCCTAGCCCAGCCACAGCTCTTTCACTCGCTCGTTCACTCTCATCTTCCAACCACCCCACCCCCGTCCATAACCCCTCCATCTACATCAATCCCTTGATTACAACCAAGTAATCCTTTAGGATTTCTACTCTATCAATCTTCAGCCCTAGCCAATCACCTATTCGCTAGACTACACCAATCCATACACCCATCCACCTTCACTTCATTCACACGAGGAAGCACCCCTTCCAAAGGTCTCCCCCGATTGTAACGCTACTCTCCCATGCTCTCCGCTGCCCGGAGAAGGCCGTCATGAGTACCATCTTAGCTCCCCGCCAAAAGGACGAACTGTGCGTTGTTCTCTCTCGTCCCCCCGCTGCTCCCCCGACCCCATATTCTTCTCCCTCCTCTTTGTTGATTCCCGTTCGTTGGCTCTGACCTCACCTCCGGCGTAGACACAAATCCCTCCTTGCATACCTTTCATCGTCTGGTCTACCTCAATCATGTGCGGCACTACGAGACGAGCTCGGTGTGGGGGACGAGTTCCTAGATATCGACAAAATGAAGAAATACGAGGGTCTGTTGGAAAAGAAATGGACCAGTGTGGTCAGGTTACAAAAGAAGGTTTGTCACGTTTCCAACACACTCAATGACGGCTATAGTTTTGTTGGCGGGAAAGTCGATCCCCTGACCTTGTTTGTAGATTATGGATCTTGAATCCCGCCTAGCCTCTCTCCAATCGGAGCTAGATTCTGCGACCCCCACGTCACTTACCCGTCGCAACGTCGATCCCGCAAGCTGGCTCCCACGGGCTCCGGCGCGCCATGTACTCACCGGCCACCGAAACCCAGTGACATCCGTCGCTTTCCACCCCGTCTTTTCAGTCCTCGCTTCATCCTCCGAAGATTCGACCATTAAGATTTGGGACTGGGAGCTTGGAGAGCTAGAGCGCACAATCAAAGGACATACGAAGGCTGTACTGGATGTAGATTTTGGAGGACCGAAGGCGGGAGTACTATTGGCGAGCTGCTCCAGTGATCTTACGATAAAATTATGGGATCCGAATAACGAGTATAAGAATATACGCACTCTTACCGGCCACGACCACAGCGTGAGCGCCGTGAGATTTATTCCTAGCGCGGCAGGGGAATACCTAGTCAGCGCCAGTAGGGACAAAACGTTAAGAATTTGGGAGGTTGCGACCGGGTATTGTATCAAGACGATATATGGACATGCCGACTGGATTAGAGACGTGGCGCCTTCATTCGATGGCCGATGGCTTTTGTCTGCCGGAAATGATCAGGTTTGTCAATTCGAGAACCCAGAGTATATCGTCAAATTTACTAACACTACTACAAGACAACTCGAGTATGGGATGCTACAACAGCAGAACACAAGGCCACACTACTTGGTCATGAACATGTAATTGAGTGCTGTGTTTTCGCGCCGCCAACTTCGTATCCTTACCTTGCAACAATGGCTGGTCTCAAAAAACCACCCCCCTCTACCTCCTCTTCTGAATTCATCGCGACCGGCTCCCGTGATAAGTCAGTTCGTCTGTGGGATAGCCGAGGCACACTCCTAAAAACTCTCATCGGGCACGATAACTGGGTGAGAGCATTAGCGTTTCATCCTGCGGGAAAGTACCTATTATCTGTCAGTGATGACAAGACTATCAGATGCTGGGATTTAACGCAGGATGGGAGATGTGTCAAGACGGTGGATGATGCACATGCGCATTTCGTGAGTTGTTTGAGGTGGGCGCCTCCGGCAAAGGAGGCTGCCAACGGGGATGGAAAGACAAATGGAGCGGCAGGTAAACGGGCAACTGAAGATAAAGCAATAGGAATGAGGTGTGTCATTGCGACGGGAAGCGTGGATATGAGTGTTAGGGTGTTCGCGTCATAAAATAGGTTCTCTTTTCCTCTTTAGCGGCCGTCGAGGTAGAAGTTCGGGTTGGTTACCAAGGGGTTTTAGCTTGAGAATTCTTGTTCTCTTAATCGAGGCTTCATTGATATCCTAGCGGCTTGGGTTTTGAGTACTGGCTGGCGGTACGGGGGTTGAGTAGTATTATCAGCTTTTCAGTTTCCTTTTTCTTTTCTTTTTAGCTTCACAGGCTTTATACTCACTTTCTGTGTAACTTTTTTCCCCTTTTCCTGTTTTTTTGTTCCTTTCCTAGTTCCTTTTTTTTTTTACGGAGTTGAGTTTGAATTGTTAAATTAGTCCCTATTCCGTTCTCCGTTCCATCATTCTTCCCATACCATATCATATTACACCATTTTATACGAGGCGAGAACCTCTTGGTTGCTCGTGTTTAACGCCCTTTTTCTTTTTCTTCAGCACTTGGTTGGATATAGGGATGGGACATGGAAACGAGAAATGGATAATGGAATCGGTATATGAGCGACGTTTACAGGCGCGCGGTATGTATTTAGAATTTAAATATTATACTTATTATACAATGCTTTGTGAGGGTTGACTCATGGGGGATCACTCGTCGCGTATCTAAGCAATGGATTTGTGTATAGGTAATCTCTTATCTTATTGGTTGTTCATACTCGAATACGGCTAGACTCATAAGGCTAGTTGGTTGAGGCAAATAAGGGACTTCTCTTGAGCTACTCGAAGTAAAAGCCAATGCCAGGTGTCTAGGATGATTGGTGCATCCAAGGTAGATGCCGATGATCCCATTTTTATAAGTCAATGAGCTATTTCTCAATAGAACGGTGTCAAATGGTGTCATGGCTAGCTACTTGTAACTGATTTGACCACGAAATGCTGAGCTTATCGCGAGCGCTACGGCCTTGAAAACTGGTGTCTGGACGGTTTGAGAGCTACTAGAGCTTATACACCCGTTATGATAGAATTTTAACGGGATATAGAGGATACACGAACCTCAAGCTAGACTTAGGCTACATGTAACCATAACAGAGTGTTGTACCGATACCCCACATTACCTATGTTGGCTAATATAATTGCCAGAAATGGAGTTATGGCACTGACTATAAGGGATCTCGGTGTATGTGGCAAGTTCATAATCTATCACTCGTTACTTAACCTTATTTATTGCCTAACCCAGGCGAGGCGGTAGCATATATACGTTCTGTAGAGGCTTCTGTACGTAGAAATATGCTTGTTATATATACCTTAAACTGACACGAAGCGTTAGCCCTCCTTGGGGCCGAGAAGGCGGCTCCTTATCATGAAAAGAGCCGGCACGCCAGTTTAAGAGGTAGATCTCCACCTAAAAGCACAGCAGCCAAGTTCTTACTCTCACTACATGCATACTAACCCTTGAACCATTCCTATACAAACCGTCATAACAAAGACATATTTAAAAACGAAGTGAGAAAGCTGTACCTCTACCCTACGGCCTCCGAGCCAAACAAACCCCAACGGCACAAAACCATGCAACTGAAATTGATGGAAACTGAGAAACGCCGGCCAGAGTGAAGCTATCTATCACGGACATGCGGATCTTTAAGCTGCACAAAACGTGAAGAACTATTTACTCGTTAAGCCCTTGAGATCATAACTCCTATTTCCGGTTAGTTTATACCCATTATCTCCGGCCGATGAGATAATACCCTTAGCTCCTCCTTCTCTACTGACCTTTTATGCAAGACCTGCAGTTATAGAGGTTAAGAGAAAGTGGAAGGGGGACTTAGGCTAGTGAACATGGATCTAATTCTAATCACTATCGACAACTCTAATGCACAGTTCCAGGATAGGTCTTGCCGTCTTGCCGTACCCCTACACAAGACATGTCAACCCTGCAGCCGTTGAGTCTCCGCCACATACCTACAATGTTCCCCTAAAAGCCCCAACCTCGTCCGGAAACTATTTCTGGGCCTCTAGAGGACCAGTCTTTCCCCTTTCTGTCAGTTAGAAGGTATTGAGTATGGCGAGTGATATTTCATGATGATGCTTGGGCTGGTTTTTCTTTGTATGCAGGTGCCCGGGATGGATGCTGGGCCGGTGCCGTCTAGGAGCGGTCTATACTTTGCTTTTTATTGTTGGTACTGTGGCCCTACGGTTTGTCCTTACCTCGAGCCTGAAGGTGTGCTGCTGGCATGTAGAATCTCCTCAACTTAGATACTCTAGGGCCACCTCACAAAAGAACAGTTGTCAACGGCTCGACCGGTGAATTACACGTGGCTAGAAATACTAATAATAGGTTCAAAGCAGAAGCACAGTTCACCATCTAAACCCAACACTCACTTAAGCTGGACTAAAAAAGTTTCCCGGTTGAAAAGGGTTTCCATTTTATCCCTATGACAGCATCCCCAAGACCTCGCAGAGCTGGTTGAATAAACCCCGACTAAAGCAATCAGGTATCCATACTAAAATCCTCTTCTTTAAAAAAAAGCTAATCACCGGTTGAACGATCAATTGACACCTGCACCCCACCCATACCCATACCCGTTATCCCAGAATGTTACAAAAATAAAGAAACAAAAAAGAGAAAAGAACAAAAGATATGCCCCATATGACTTTTCAATAAAAACGCCGATGTTGAATCTCCACTACCCCAATTGAACTTTTTGTTTTACTACAATAAGAATTATATGGCTTTATGTTAAATTAAGCCTTGGAGTACTTGGCACGGAACTGCTTGGTGGCCTTGATCATGTTGTCAAGAGCAGCGCGGGTCTCGGGCCATTGACGGGTCTTGAGACCACAGTCAGGGTTGATCCAGAGCTGCTCGGGCTTGAGCCACCTAGTGAAGATAACAGTGGTTAGTAAATTACTAATAATCGATAGGAATAAGGGACATACTTGAGCATCTCCTCGACACGGTCAACAATCTCCTGCTCTGATGGAACACGGGGGGAGTGGATGTCGTAGACACCAGGTCCGATGTGACGGGGGTAGGCCTCGTCCTCGAAGACCCTCAAGAGCTTAGCATCAGACTTGGAGTTCTCAATGGAGAGAACATCGGCGTCAAGGGCAGCAATGGCGTGGAAGAAGTCCTGGAACTCAGAGTAACAGAAGTGAGAGTGGATCTGGGTGTTGTTCTGGACACCAGTGGTGGCAAGACGGAAAGCCTTGACGGCCCAGTCAAGGTAGGCCTCACGCTCCTTTCCGGAACGGAGAGGGAGACCCTCACGGAGAGCGGGCTCGTCGACCTGGATGACGTGGATACCGGCAGCCTCGAGATCGATGACCTCGTCACGGAGAGCAAGAGCGAGCTGCTCAGCCTGGACGGACTGGTGAACGTCATCACGGGGGAACGACCACCTCAAGCAGGTGATCGGACCAGTGAGCATACCCTTCATGGCCTTCTTGGTGATGGAAGCGGCGTACTTGGACTCCTTGACGGTCATGGGAAGAGGCCTGGAGATGTCACCGACGACAATTGGGGGACGGACACAACGAGATCCGTAAGACTGGACCCAACCGAAGGTGGTGAAGACGTAACCGGTCAAACGCTCACCAAAGTACTGGACCATGTCGTTACGCTCAGGCTCTCCGTGGACAAGGACGTCGAGGTCAAGGGCCTCCTGCTCCTTGACAACGAGCTCGATCTCCTTCTCAATGAAACGCTCATACTCCTCGGTGGTGATATCACCCTTGGTGAACTTCTGACGGGCGACACGGATCTCCTTGGTCTGGGGGAAAGATCCAATGGTGGTGGTGGGGAAGAGAGGAAGGTTGAGGTGAGCCTGCTGACCAGAAATACGGGTCTCAAAGGGAGCGAGACGGTTATACATCTCAGGGGTGACCTTGGCCTGGCGCTCCTTGACAGCGGGGTCGTTGGTGCGGGCAGAGGTGGCACGAGAGTTCATGGAGGCGGCGTTGGCATCAAGCTCAGCGCGGACGGACTCAGCACCCTCAGTGACGGCCTTGGCAATGACAACAACCTCAACAGCCTTCTCGGAGGCGAATGAGAACCAGTCGGCAACCTCAGCGGGGAGCTTCTTCTCGGAAGCAAGAGTGTGAGGAGTGTGGAGAAGAGAAGAAGAAGTGGCAACAACAACACGGTCAGCACCGAGGAGCTGGACAGCCTTCTCAACGGTGGCAATGGCCTTCTGGTAGTTGGTCTTCCAGATGTTACGTCCGTCAACAACACCGGCAGAGAGGACCTGGCCGGGGGCAAGGGCACCGGCAACGGTCTCGAGCTGCTCAGGGTTGCGAACAAGGTCAACGTGGACAGCGGCGACAGACTTGACGTCGTTGAGGATCTCAATGTTGTGGACAATGTCACCGAAGTAGGTGGCGAGGGTGATCTTGGGGATGGCATCACCCTGGGCGGCGAAGAGATCGTAGGCGGGCTTGAAAGCAGCCTTAGTCTCCTTGGGAAGGTCGAGAACGAGGACGGGCTCATCGATCTGGACAGTCTCGGCACCGGCAGCCTTGAGCTGTTTCAACAACTCAACATAGACGGGAAGGAGCTTGTCGAGGAGGGTGATGGGAAGAACAGACTGGCCACGGTCTGGCTTTCCGAGGTGAAGGAAAGAGACGGGTCCGACAAGGACAGGGCGGGTGGTGATGCCCAGGGCCTTGGCCTCGTTGAACTCACGGACGGGCTTGGGGTCAGCAGCAAGGCTGAAGGTCTGGTTGTCCTGGAGGGTAGGACGGACGTAGTGGTAGTTTGAGTCGAACCACTTGACCATCTCCTATAATTCGCATTGATTGCGTTAGCGTACTGGTTCATATCAAAATATCTCATCACATCTGATGGCCATCGCGTGTGCACAAAAAATTCACAATTGGTCCATTGCTGTGGGGGCAACAAAGAGGGGTAGTGACCGCGCCGTGGGGGGCCTAATAGATAGAAAATATTTACTGACCAAAGCGGGAACATCGACGGCAGGGCCAGTCTCAGTAGCAGGGCGCTGGAGACCACGTCCCATGGCGAAGAACTCGTCAATAGCAGGGAGGCCATACTTCCTGTATCTCTCAGGGACAGCCTATATTAAGAACGATTAATCATCACTCCGTGTTAACTCCGAGGGGGGCTGGGTGTACGTACGTTGAAGAGCTGGATGTGGTCAAGAACGTGGTCGTAGAAAGAGAAGTCGTTGCTGGCAATGGTACCGGCACCGGCATCCTTCTGGATCTTCCAGTGGGCAGCACGGAGGGTCTTTCCGGTCTCAACGAGGGACTCGACACTGGACTTTCCGCCCCAGTAGGCCTCAGTAGCCTTCTTGAGCTCACGGTTTCCTAAAGAATTCCATCAGAACCAGTCATCGATAGAAGAGCCTTAGAGATGAAGTAAAAACATACCACCCATACGGGGGAATCCAAGAACGGATCTAATTGATGTAAACAAACATTAGCCATCATCACCTCAACCCAATTCCTACTCTCTCTACCATCTCGAGAGGGGTGAATGAGTCAAACTTACGAGGAAACCATTATGAATTGAGATGAAGTTTTTGGATTATTTTTTGTTAGGGGAAGAGTTGCAATTGATACTTCTTCTCGTTCTCTTCGATGGCGGAGGGTTTAAAAAAGAAGAAGATGGGGAAAGAAGAAGGAAAAAAAGATAAAAAGGGGGGGAGGAAGAGAAAATTTATTTGAAAGGTCCACGGGGATGGTGGGGGGTTGGTTCGTTTGGCTGACTGGCGGGGTAACAACCAGCAACCTCCTAGGAAGGATGCCCCACGCTAATGCTACATAAAAGGGTCTTTGCCAAGCACCAACAGGAAAAAAAAAAATTATTAGCGATGGCGCAATATTCTTCATGTGAAACAAAACAATTCGGCCTCCCCTTCTTCCTCCTCCTTCTTGCCGGTGTGTAAGTTTAAGCTCGGCTAGCAGCAGCAGCCTGCGGTTTGCTCTTTGGTTTGGCAGCACGCATGTCCGAGACCGAGTGACCGGTCGAGGGCACACAGCTACACAGCACGCTGCACAGAGAACGAACACGGTTGGGCCACTGTTCAGAGGAGAGATAACCGAATGCAGCAGATATGATAGTGACCAAAAACGATATCATAAGGAGTTGCCCAAAACGAGCTAGGATTGTCCGTTACTTTCACGGAAAACAACTAATCAGGGTTAGGTGTCGTTCACACACACACTGCACACACTGCACATAGTAATTCCACAGCGTTTTTGAACACGACCGCTATTGCATGCCATACAAAAAAGTTGTCTTGTGTGTATGCAATAGTGGCCCAGTTCAAGAACGTCACGAAGATGCGAGTACACACAGACTGCACACATGTTCAGCAGATGTGCACTTTTATATAAAAACTTAGAAAACTTGAAAGCTACAATTCATGCTATGCTATTAATTAGAAAACCGAAAAAGGTTTGGAAAGAAAAAAAGGGAAAAACAAACAAACAAGTCATTGACATCATAAAATAGATATTTATATAAATTATAACGGATCCATCGTCCCCCCAACATCATGTTGTTTAAGTTTTCATGGTTCATAGTTCATGGTTCATGTGTCATCATTTACCCTACCCGTCAGCGGATCGGTGGAGAAAAAAGGGATGGATGGGGATGGGCTGTTAAATAAGCTTAAAGCTTAGACTGCCCACTCTGAGAGGTCGTCTTGGGGCGTCACGAATGGCTCGTCTATCCGCTTTATCGCAAACTCACTGCAGAGGACACTATCACCACACCACCCCAGCGTCAGTTAAAGCCCCCTCAAAAAAAAAAAAAAATCCCCCAAGTAAATGCAACAAACAACCAAACAATCAAACCGACAAACATAAAACCAAAAAAACGGGAAAAATGGAAAAACTCACCACTCCGACGCCACCAGACTATCAAACTCCTCCACCGCCTTCTCCCTAATCCTCCCCCCCACCATCCCCTTCTCCATCCTCTCCTGCGCATCCCTCACCCTCCGCCCCTTGCCCGGCCCCACCCCCCTCAACACCTCCCCCGTCAAACAATCACTATGAAACGCATGCTGGCACGGAAACACATAAAACAGCCTCGCCAGCAGCGGCATCTGACACACCCAGCACCTCTCGCCCGGCTCCACAATCGCATACCGCCGATCCAGCATCTCCACATCCCTCCTAATATTCGCCGCCGTCCTCGCACTCTCCTCCATCTCGCGCTTCAGCGTATCAATGGCATGGCTGTGGTCCTCGAGCGCAGCGCAGATCTCGTCCTTAAAGTCGTCAATCACGACAAAGTCCGGAAAGAACGGGATCAGGTCCTCGATGCGCAGCAGCTCGCAGCGGCGCAGAAAGTCGATTGCGGATTTGATGCTGCTGGAGGAGGCGATGACGGCGCGGGCGACGGCGAGCCAGAGCTGCTTTCGCAGCGCGGGGTCGGTGCTGGGCCGGTCGGCGACGATGGCCGCGAGGGTCAGGTTGCCGTGTTTTAGCGCTAGCTCGACGGCCTGCAGGTACAGCCCCATGGAGGAGTAGAGGTGCACGCACGAGAGCACGTGGTTGTGGCGGATGCACAGGCGCAGCGCAAAGTCCGCGTCGTAGTGCGAGTGTGCCGCGGCGCCGCTGGCGCCGGCGGTGTGCGTCTCGAGGTAGGAGAGGAGGTGAGTCTCGTCGCGGCTGGGGTGCGACGCGTAGATGCTCAGTAGTGTGTTATGAACTGCCGCGTCCGTGGAGCCCAGCTGGTGTATCACAAAGAGGAGGTAGCGCACGGCCTGGTTTGCGTTCAGCGGCGAGCGCGTGTATTTGTTGTAGTTTAGCAGCGCGGGTATGAGGTTCCGCGGGGAGAGGTTGCTTTGGCGCATGAGGATGTCGACGGTCTCGGTGGGCGCGTTGGAGAGGAGGACGCTGGCGTACTTGTAGAACATTTCTGGGTCCGTCTGTTTCTTGAGGACAGCGAGGGCCTCGTGCCATTGCTCGCGCTGGATCCAGTAGGCGAGGACGTAGCTGTAGTCTGATATTGTGTTTGCGTAGTAGAGCAGCTCGTCTTTGCGGCCGTGGGAGGAGATGATCTCGTATGTGGTTTTGCGGTCGAGGGAGTCCTTGTGCGCTGTGATGAAGGACTGGTATTCGGCCCGCACGGCGGAGAGTTGGGCGGTGATGTCGGTGGAGGTGGTGATGGAGGAGGTGGCGTGCGTGGCGAGGGTGGAGAGGGTGTCTTCGAGGGTGTTGAGCTTGGCCATGAAGACTTCGACGAGCCAGGAGGCGGTCATGATGCGTTGCATTACGGCCTGATGGGCGGAGGGGGGGGGGTCAATGATTGGTTAGCTAGTTTTCGGTGTAGCGTATCATTATAGCAAGAACCAAGAACCACAACCAAGAATTCAAACCAAGAAAGCAAGAAACTAATAGAAAAAAGGAAGGAGAGAAAGAGAACTTACACTCTTCTTCAAACTCCCCAACTTGACCAACAAATACCTCCTCAACGCGTCCTGCTCCCCCCTCTCCAGAAACGTCAACGCCACCTCCTCAAAGCTCTTACTACACCCCCCCCACACCGCCGCCGCCTCCTCATACCTCCCACACCTGACCAAATACTCCCCCTGGCCCACCGCCACCGCATCCCTCTGCGCAGGCGTCTTTGCATACCTCATCGCGCGCTCAAACGCCCTCTCCTTCAGCAATATCCGCCACAGATCCCGCTCCTCATCCACCACCACCACCTCATAGATCTCACTCGCGGTAAACACCCAGTACGTGCACTTCTTGACGTCGGCGCAGATGCCGAGGATGCGCGTGCCGGGGTCGACGATGCTCTGCGAGAAGACGATGCTGTCGTCGAGCCGGTTGATGGCGTAGAGGGTTGTGCCGCTGAAGGCGAGCACGTGGTGGTGTGTTAGCGCGATGGAGTTTGGGTGTGATGAGAGCGCGGTGGAGGGGAAGAGTTTTGAGGTGGAGAGGACGTGGGCGCCGAGGTCGGGGTTGGGGGGGGTGGTGAGGAGGCGGCCGTGGTAGATGCCGGGCGAGCAGAGCCAGGCGAAGGAGCGGTCGGGGTCGTGGGGGTCGGCGCTGTCGGGGGAGGTGCAGAGCGCGCTGAAGGGCGTGGAGGTGTCGTGGAAGTCCTGGATCACTGCTTTGTGTTAGCCTTCTACCTACCCAGGCAGCCGCGGGGGAGGGGGTGTAGTACTTGGTCCCTCCGCCTCAAAAAACTTTGCAAATATCGACCCCACATCCGAATGCCTCTGCACCCTTCCCACCCAATGCATGACCGCCCCCGCCGTAGCCACCAACACCCTCCTCAGATCCGGCTTCCCCGGCAGGGCATCCACCCACAGCCCCGTGACACCGCTATTATCACCCATCTTATACACCTGCTTCAGGTACTTCTCATCCTTCCTCATGAACGCGGCCCCGCCGCCGTCGTCCAGCCCGTCGATGAACGTCTCGTAGACGCTGCCGTCCTGCGTGCCGAGCAGGATCTCGCGCGTGCTCGTGGTCGGCAGCGACGGCGACCAAGCGACGCACTCGATGTGCAGCGACTTGAGGCGGCCCAGGTGGCGCGCCTTGGAGCTGCGCGAGTGCAGGTAGAAGTTCTCGCCGTGCGTCGTGGTGATGAGCAGGTGCGAGGCTGTCGGGTCGAGGAAGATCTTGCGGATCGTGCCCACTTCGGACACCTTGCGGGGGAGGTCGATATCTGTGTTTTTCCGACTCCTCATAAATATCAGCCCCACACCATTCCCCATCCCCATCACCCCCCACATAAATAACCCCCATCATTCCACACAAATTAATCCCCCCCCCCCCAATGGAAGCTCACTACTCACCGTCCACATTCTCCGGACTCGCCAAGTCGATCCTGAGGAGTCTTCCGCTCGTCAGCGCAAGGATGATGACATTGTTGGCAACCTGTACGGCCACAAAGTCGGCGCCGACCTGCGCCTGCAGCTGCACGAGCTCGACGCGGAAGATGGGGTCTGCGGCTGCTGCTGTGAGTGCCGTGGTGGTGGTGGGGGTGTCAGCGTCGGCGGCGGCAGTGAGGTAGTTTGTCGAGTTGAACTCGGACGGGTCGAAGGCCATTGCTCTTCTGTGCTGTGATTGTGGGGTGGGTGTGGGTGGGGTGGATGTAGATGGAGGGGAGGTGTGGAGTGGAGTGGTGAAGTGGAGGTGGAGTGGAGGTGAGAGAGAGAGAGAGAGAGAGAGAGAGAGAGAGAGCTGGTGCACGGCTCCTTCTGTGTCGAGTGGAGGCTCGGTGTTGCGTGGGCGTGCCAAGAGAGATAGCGATACTCTAGTCTACAAAGTGTGGGGATCGGCGGTGTGCGTCATGGCCTGTCACTCACACTCACGCACTGTCACTCACACTCACGCACTGTCACTCACTCTCACTCACTCACTGCAGAGATGCGGGCTGCCTTTCTCTCTCTCGCTCTCTCGCTCTCTCTCTCTCGCTCTCTCTCTCTCGCTCTCTCTCGCTCTCTCTCCTTCTCTCTCCCTCCCCCACCAACTGCAACAACTGCAGCTGGACCGCTGCATCGACGCAGGAACGCCGGTGATACGAGAGC